ACGCAGGACGAGGCCATGTTCCCACCCAGCCGCTGCATTCCCCGAGGTTTGTACGAGACGCTGCCGGAGCCCATCCAGATTCTTTGTCGCGAACTGGTTGCAGAGCAAGGATCTGAACCAGAGAATGAAGATTCGGAGAACTTGAAGCCGTGGCAGAGCAGATACTGGCACGGAGTGACCTACGAACGAGCTTGAAGCGGACAAAAGGATACAAAAGGGAGCGGCGCCAGTGCAAGTCTTGGGTTTTGATCTTGGCCGTGTGAAATTGAAACATTACTGGTTGATACTGGTTGCACAGTGACAGGTGGATTGTTTTCTAGATTCTAGATATTGTCATGCATTTTCGACATTCCATACATGTTCTATGTTCGACTCCATTCGGAATGGCCAACGCCGTTGGCAAAGTTGAAACAACATGAGACGACTTGATCATGATCGAGTTTGTTTTCAGTTGATGTTCAAACCTCAATGGACACAGTTGGAATTTGGGGCTTAATTACCCACCCACGTGGGTCGCGCCTGCCGCCGGAAAGGACACCGATGCTTAATGATTACGCCACGTGGGGCATTGGTTTGGTGCTGCTGGTGATCTGCGTCACAGCTGCTGCTTTCTTTGCCGCTTGGCTGTGGCCACGTCGCCTTTGGGGATGCCAAAGATAGTCAACCTCCCTGGCTGCGGCCAAGTGCCTTTGGGTGAGGCAACATGGGAAACATTGACAAACTTTGCCAAATCGGAAGCCACGAAGCATGTAGTTGACCCTCCTTTCGGGACCGTGCCACGACCACGAACCGGTGCCATGTCCACACCAGCTGCCGTCAACTCGTTTTGAGAGCCGCAATTGCCTGTGACTCCTTGTTGAGGATCTCCAGTTCTGGCAGCAGTTGTTTAGGATTGTTTTGGGATGAATTGACCACCCATCGATCGTTGGTATACCTGGTATACAGTTGATCCAGTAGTAGTTGATCCCTATAGCAGTGGCCCTGAGGTTTTCAACTACCTGAGCTTGCACCGCCTGATCGGCGACCATGCAGGGAAAAAAAGGGACGGCGACCATGCAGAGATCGCTGCATGCTTGTACTCGGGGACGAGACCATACTATGGATTATGACGGTTATGAACTGAAGATTCTTATATATAATTTTGCGGCCAACTGCAAAACAGCAAGTGCAGGGCATATGGTGGTGGGGCACTGACAGGTAGGCCAATGTCAATCTCATTCACAAACACATCCGCCAGCATACCATGGCACAACACACAAAAATGAAGTGACCAGAAAAGAAAACACCAGCATTGGAAGATTTGGGAAGTACAGTTGGCACCTGAGCATGCAGTGGTGATATGATTTAAATCCTTAAAACTGATGAATGTGCTGGCGTGTTCTTGTTGACAATGAGGCTTCAATGGCTGCCTCCCACACCTGACATCCAAGAATATCCTGGATTCCTCCCAATGAAGCCAAGTGGGGGTCTATGTCACCAGCATTGGTTTCTTTCCCAGTATAGGCTTTCATGCTTCCTTAGCGCCTGCAAAGCGTGTTCCTATATATGTTATATATATTAGACGCGGAACTCGCACCAATACTACATCGATACGCATACCGAACCGCACCGATACCAATACTCCAACAATTGAGCGTTTAGGTTCAGGCTTTATTGGGGTTTAGGGTGTAGAACACCATACGTGCGTTGGCGCATTCACAGTAAGCACGCTCTATAGTATAATCTTTGGTTGCTTCCCATTGTAGGCGACCGGAAGTCAGCGTATAGTCGATCAACACCCATTCCGCGATCAACACCCATTCAGCCATTTACATGCGAGCATTCTATAATATATGTCATGGTATGTCCTAGGCTACGCCGAGTACACTCGAGGAATCGCGCGGTCTTTATCAATCACATCACATTGCTATTCCCACATGAGCTGATTTGCGTCGATCAAGTACTTCTATCAGGGACGTTTCACTGGCATTGCATTTTGTAGAACATCCTGGGAACTACAGGTCCCTGCCCATCCAAAACATGTCCATTGATTTAGGCAACCATCGTTAAACCAGAGGTGACGGCCGAACTGATAGAGTCATAGGGCGCCCACAGAAGACACATTGACGCCATCAGTGATGCCATCCTCTCGGTCTTGTTGTTTGCCACGCCCAGTCCAGTGAGAAGCTCCTTGGACAAGTTTCAGCATCCCACCCAGGCACGGAGAATCTCGGAGGTTTTTCTGTTTTTGTTTAATGCTTTCGGAACCTTTCGGGAAATTGGTTGACCAAGACCGTAAAAGACCGCCGTGCCGCACCTAGACGTGCGTCTGCGGCCTCCGCTCAACGGCGTTTGCCACGGTGCTTTGGCATTAGTGGCAAGGGATGACTACGGGATGACTGTCAGGTTCCTGTAAGGACACCAGGCCCTTCCATACAGATATAGGCATATATAGGCTAGTAGGTTGTTTTTTTGCTCGTTTCACGTCGGTGACCATGCAGAAGAAAGAGAGTACTGTGTTCCAAAAATCGTCGCACAGCGGCCGAGATCGCATCAATCAACCAAGAAACGGGCTTGGATTCTTAGGACCCTGGGACCCTCATCCACCGAGTCATGTGTGAGTCATCAGTTGTCATCGATAGGCTTGCCAGGTCCGCAAGGCCTCAGTTCAGTTCCCTTTTGGGGAGTCTTGCCAGGTTACTAACTGGACAAGACTAACGATGGCAGATCGAGCGAGAGAAGCCACTTATCCATAATCGTCTAGCCTCAGCCTTCTCATCGTGCCTCATTTCCTGGTGTCTGTCTAAATGCCATCTACATGGCCTCAGTCTCCAGGCAGAGCGTGAGGAGATTGAGCGAAAGCGGATGGAGCGCGCCAAGCGGCGCAAAGAAACGCAGGAGGGCCACGCGAAGCCGGTCGCGGGTGCGACCTGCATTGTTGAATGAAACATGGGCCTGTCAGACTCAGACTGTCAGGCATGGTTTGGCAGGAAGATCTTCTTTTAAGTCTGATAGGTTGGTTCGGTTTGAGGAGGTTTTATGTTGCTATGTGGGAGGATGCTCGGAAGGTTTTGGAAGACAGAGGGTGTCAGGGGCACACCAGTTGCTTGCCCTCACTGGCAGATTAGTTTGAAGGGTAAAAGTAAAAGGTTCACATTCAACGATCCCAGAGTGTGCGAGTTTTTGAACACTGCATGCTTGACACAAAAAAAGGAAAACATCCCAGTGCATCAATCACTGTGGGGACCTTGTCCTTGTCATGACAGGGTCTCCAAACACCTGGCACATCTTTTTAATAGAAAAACAGCTTTAACCAGACTTTTAACCAGACAACATAAAACAACCTTCCGTAGTGATTGCCAGGCAGCCCAAACCAACATGATATAGAATCTATTGTACCGGTCGACCGGAACCTTTTTGTTTGGTCCAGCGATGGTGTTCTGCTGGTCGACCAACATCTAACGTCACATGCCACATGAAGAGTCGTCGACTCATCTTCAGATTCGCGGACCGCCGATGGAGGCCAGGATCGATCGGTTTTGGGTCGGTTTCCATACGGCGGCGTCGTCGAAAGGAAGGGGCAAGACTTTCTGGGACGTGTTTCTGCAGTCCTTCAAAGTACTCTTAAGAAAATGGAGAGCATTCCCTAGAATGACAGGTACTAACAGACTAGCACTCGTTTTTGTTGAGGTACTTAGAGACTCCAGGTAGGCCCTCACCCCATTTTCGCAGGATCCACATGATGGAGAGCCCGGTGACGAACTTGGGGATGTTGAGCTTGGCGAGTGAGGAAAAGAAGCGGTGCAGAGATGCATCAGGGTGTCTTCCTACTTTGGTTTTGTCGTTCGTTTTCGGAGTCGAAGAGCGAAACGAAGCCGAAGACTACCTGTCCTTTCATCATCTAGAATCTAGAACCCACCGACCTACTGGAAAGGCTTCTTGTTGGATATTAGACTTTGAACCCCTTAGACTCTTAGACTTTAGGACAATTGTGAGAGAGCCAGGCAACGACTGCACTTGCAGAGGCGCATGGCCCCACACGCAGTGCCTCTGAAAGAAAGGACAGATCGAACTTGCACTTTTGGATGCCAACCTATGCCCTATGCCGCAAAGATTGTTGGTTGACATCCAGGGGTTCATTTGCTCTTTTTAAGTCAGACTTACAAGTTGTCTAAGTGTCTTAGCCTTGACTGATCAAAGATAGATCGATCCAATTTTAACACGCAAGCTGCAAGCTGAAAATCCACAGCCTATCCTTTCTTATGCGGAAATCCAGGTTGCTTGTAAACTATCAATAATATTGTTGTTTACCACGTTTACTTGGTTTTGTTCGTAGCTATGAGCGAATGACATGCACAATATTGCACAATTTCTTATACGTGGCCGATTCCTTGTTTGATTGAAAAACATCAAAGACATAAAGGTGGTAATGCGCACACAGGATTAAGTAACACAGGATTAAGTAACCTCCCCTTATTAATCAAGCCTAGCTGGAGCCCCCCAATACTAAACTTATTTAAAACCTGAATTTCCACCTTGACATCCCGTAATATATTTGTTCCTGGCCAGAAACCTCCCCCCTGTTAATCAAGCCCATCTCCCCCAGAAAAGAAAATAGTTAGTTTTACATTTCTGTATTATCTATCAGCTCTCATTCTGTAAACTATAGTTTATATATGTATTCTGTATAGAGTTTCGTAATTATCATGATTCAATCTCTCATGATTCACACAGAATCCCATCAACCATCATCCATCATCCATCATCAGGTCCGGGTCATCATTTCATCATCCATCATCACAGTCATCACCTTTATTAAGGGAATGTGGTCTCAAATTCCTCCAATCTCAAACTTGGTTAAACCTTGTTGACCTTGAAGGGGGAGTGATTAATCCGGTAGAGGCACTCGGTCCAGTAGCCCATCGACATCCAAGTTCAGGGGTCGATTTCTTACGGCTATCGAAGAGGTTTCCCCACGTTCGAGGCCGCTGCAATTAGTACAACAGGGCACATCGTGGCGTGATGGTGGATGGGGATTTCGTTGTGTACTTCTTGTTGTCCTGCCATTGAGCTGGCTCGAGCTCCGCCTGCAGCCTAGCCGATGTTTGAGAAACTTGTAACTTCCATATAGCCATGACCGCCAGGACGGGACAGGGTCCCGTTTTGACTTTGGCCCGGTCGTTTATCTCTTGAAAGGGCCGTTTCTATGGCATTTGCCATTGCCCGAACATGAGGTGTGACACTGGGCTTTCGCGGATACACACCGACCTCGGCCATGTGTGAAGAAAGTCTTCAAAAGACAAAAGGCACCCAACCTTAACAGCAGAACGCTCTAGCAGTCTGAAAACATCTAGCAGTCTGAAAACACAGGTCCTCCACTCCTGAAGAGTTATCCGGAACGCCTGAAAGGACCTGAATTCGAGAAAAGGCAAGAAGGAAACATAGACATCGGGTTCCAGATATTGCATGGAGAAGTCTTCCAACAGCAGTCTTATGATGTCCTATATACAGTAGATGATCCAAGATGAATGTCCAAATCGATAAGTACGCGGTCTGACCGCGGTCTCTTGTATTTCCTCGTCTTTCCTTAAGAACCTGGAAATCGTGGGAAGTACGCGGACTCCGCCCCCCACGGATCAAAGGCCCAGCAGTTCGGTGCTCCCCTCTGAGGAGCAAACGCTTGAAATTCCTGGGGCTCCTTCACCTCATCATTTGGTCCGACCACGGCGTCTCGGCCATCCGTGATGCGCACGTGAAGACTGGTCTATCGGGCAGTCTCTCCCCCGAGGCCGGAGGGCAGGAGGAGCGGTCCGTGGTCCGGCTTTGGAGTTGTCCGGCTTTATACGATCTCCGAATCCAATCGTTCTACACTGAGTCCGGTTCTAGTTGGAGCGGTCCGTGGTCCGGGTTCTACACTGAGTTGGTCAACACGTTCCAAGTTCGCCTCATCTCGGTTCCAAGCGCCGGTCCTTCAGACGCAAGATCAGTGCGACCAGCGCGGGGGGGCACGAGATCAGGGCACTGAGTGGGACTGGACGCATATGGAGACCCTCAGCGTCTGCATGATCCCAAAGGCTCAGAAAGGAGCCGACCCGTTCGCGGTCGTTTTGACCCTCACAACTAGGGTGAAATGGACCGAACCAACATGTAGCAGTTGGTTCGGGTCCAGGGTCGCCTCTGGGGAACAAAAACATCTTTGGCTGCACCAGTCTGACAGTTTGTCAATGTTTACCTCGGAGAAAGGTCCCCTCGGGGTCCACCTGGCCCCTTCTGGGTTCCGCTGTTGTGCCAAGCTTTTTTTCACAAACCCGTTTGGGGAGAGGAACGAGTCGTGCAGCCAACGGTACTCCATGTTTGCATAGATCGGAGGGCCACTTGATGGTGGTTCACCGTCCGGAGGTCTGGGGTTTTCCCCGGTTCCCCCACATTCACGGGCCTACCATGCAGGTGCTTTAACAGTCGGTCCGGGGGACTGGGATCCACCGCCCGGTGAGTCGATCACCATGGTGCCAAGGACCTGGTCTCACTTGTTCAAATCCGGCTGGGCCTCTTGTCCCAGCATCCGCAGGAGTCCCTGAGCATTGACGAGGATTTGGAGTTGGATGACGCACAGCTGGAGGGCGAGGATCTGCTGGATGAGCCGAGTGGATTGGCGTCTTGGGATGAGGAAGTGGGTGGGAAGCCTGCAGAGGTTTGAGATATTTCTGGGGTGAAGGAAGACGGCCCCAAAGACGAGGTTTCGGACAAGCTGGTTTACTCAGAGTAAAAATGATGTAAGGCCAAGGAAGGTTGACATGCATGTGATCTGCTGAGGAGAGGAGCATCCTTTCTTGGACGGAGTGTGTCGACCGGTTGCGTTTGTTACTTTTTCTATACGCCGAGCGCAATGGAATCGACTTTTGCATCAAACGCACCGAGCAAGTCGCCACGATGAGAAGGGTGACTGGACGACCACATACTTCACGCACACACAAGGGTCCTGAAAATCATGGTGCACTCTCGTGCGTAGAGCATCCTTCAAGCGGAGTGGCCGTTTGCCCGTGGCGGAGCTCTTGCCACAGCTTACGTGGTCCAATCAACATCAATCAACTAGAGAAGAAAGAAGTGAAGAAAGATAAGGAAGTCAGCTCACCAGCCGTTCCCAAGTTAGGTGCTTAAAGGACGAGGCTTAAGGGTACCCAGAACATCCACTCGCTGATGCAGGGACGAAAAAACACCACCCCTTGATAGTGACTCCTGGTGTGCACCAGGTGGCTGTGTTACAGGGTCGCCTCGCATCTTCCGCACTTCGCACCCGAAGAAGGCCGTTGAGGACCCATTGTGCACCGAAGCCACTTGCGCCCTCAGAAGTCGTCCAACGAACTGCGACCAGGTTTTGGTTCGGAGCTGCTGCAGATGGTTTCAACATGGACATTCCTTAGGGTGCACATCTCGTTCAACTGGAACTCGATGTTCCTAGAGAGGTTGAACAGCCACCCTTGGGCGCCCAAAAAACGCCCATCCCACTACAGAGCCCTAGTTATATAGTCTCTATAGTGGTACACTCCAAGAAGTGGTCAGCGTCTTAGTGGCGAATCTCTTTAGTGGTACCACTATAGTTCATATGTGCATATGTCTTTCAACCTCTTTTGGGTTTGCCCGAGGACTTCAACGTTCGTGCTGGGTCTCTACTGGAGACGGGCATTGCACCTTGGTTCGGGGGCTGACCAGTCCGGTGGGGAGCCGTTTGGGTTTGGAAGGACTGCCAGACCAGACGAATGGGACCGGAGGAGTTAGATACATTCTCATTTACACCATAGTTTATGACCCATCCATGTAGAACTGTTCCATATATATATATAATATTTATTTAGATTAGATCGTTCGGGGATGGAGAAACTTCAGAAACAAAAAACACATTTGGGCGAATCGGATGACACAATGCTGCAATACTTCTGAGTGGGTGGCTAAGATTTGAGTTTTGTGTCCTGTACTGTAAAACTTGCAGGGTCGAGTATGAGGGTGCGCCGATTGGAGTCCTTGCAGAAACTGGATGACGACGCCTTGCAAAGCTGTTTTCATTTTTATGGACGATCTCACATTGTGAATTATGCATCACACATTTCAGAAGGTCCTTGGCCTACTGTTCATATGTTTCTGAGAAACAGCTTTTCTATGTTTTCCTGTGGATTTGGCAGTTCTACCTTGCACAAGTTCAGCTGAACATCCTATCCAATGAACCTTAATGTAGGCTCTGACTCTCGATTTATGGAGGCCTCCATTTGGAAATGCTCTTCATATCGCGGGGTGACATAAAATCAAGAGTCTACATTAAGGTTCATTACTGTTCAGATCTCTTGAGTACTATGTTTTTTTTTTTTTTAAACAAACGCGGAGCTGGAATGCAGCCGTCCGGACAAGAAATTGCGACCACAAGTTGGATGACACTGATTCAAACGATACATAACGATACCAATACAATTGCCGTGACGTCCCCCACTCAGGCAGGTGCCGCGCTCAGCCTGGAAGCCGCCACTGCCACGGCGGCCCAGCAGGCCGCACGAGCGCAGATGCAATTGGCCATGGGGCGATTGATGGAGAACACCGAGGAGAAAGGGGCTGGTCGATCTGCGCCAGGTTGGATCTCAGAGTGAGAGGAGAGGAAAGCGCCAGTAGGTGGGCTTCGGACAGGGGGTTCTTACAATGAAGTTGACATGTGTACAGCACTGAGTTTCAGCATGAATTTTCAAAAAAAACATATGCAATTGTTATATATCCAAATTGGAATTAACAAGTCAACCTGGGCTTTCGATATTGTTTGATAGCGGCGTTGGCTGCAAAAGTCCTTCAGGCAAAGGCTTTCAAGGCTTAGAAGTTGGAACATCACTGGCCGGGAAAGGATTTGCAGTTGATTTGCTACTGGTGACAAAACCACCCAGTTGGTCTCCACTGGTTCAGGGACGTGACTGCTCTCGATCCGACTGCCCTGAATGGGCCCTGGCAGGAAGGCCAAGTCTCTTCCTATTCTTTCCACCCGAAAAGGGGCCCGCAACGAACGCGACGAGACGGCTCCTCCAACATCCTCCAATCCAACTCTTCGCTGAAAAGAAACACTTCACCCATGGGGCTGTCCAACGAAAACCCACTGGGCTTTCCGGGGCGACGAACTGACGAGGAGATTACCCAGCTTTTGCAGCTCGGATGGGATGGGCCCAGCCGATGGACGAGGCCTCCCGCGCACGGAGGGATGTAGACCCACCGGTGTTGCCCGGCAGTTCCTTCACCTGAAGAGTAAGACGGAGGATGGATGTGTGAATTGCTTCCTGCTCCAATGCCAAGAGAGGTATAGCCAGTGACCGTCAATAGGACCCGTCACCTGGGGTACCCAACTGGGATACTCTATATAGATGTTTAGTTCGGGTCCAACCTCTGTTGGATGCCTCCCAGTCTCGAAGTCGCCCCAAGTCTGTGGCGCGAACTCGGCCGGACTGAGCAGAAACTGGAGGTTTTTGGGCCTCGAAGCCGAACCCACGGAACCCACGGATTTGGGATCGACCAAGGGGGATATCTGGGAAGAATTGCTGGGGATGAGCATGGAGCACTTTCGGCGCCACCTGGAGCCAGATTCTGGCTTGGAAGCATCAAAAACACGATTTGGCTACCAGCACCATGAACCTGGTAGGGCTCTTGGCCCATATCCTGAGGTTTAGTCCCACCTCTGGCCAGGAGCCCTAGGGGCTGTTGATGTAACATTCTATAACTGTTTCAGTCCCAAACCTACAAACCCTCCAAACCTACATACCAGTGTCTCCAATCTAATCACCTTCTTAGGAGGGTATGTTTTTACAGGAAAAAACGGCGCACTGAGGAACAACGATGCCACGGAGCTGGTGCAGTTGCTGGAAGAAACAGAGGCACGCAGCGAGACAAAAGGAGGGAACGTCCGAAGGGAGGTCCAAAGGTAGAAAGCAGACACAGAAAAATGCAACGGATAAAAAACACACACAAAAACACAACGTAACATAACATTGAAAACACAATAAATCAATAATACAATTACAATGCTTTTGGAATGGGGCTCACACTCACTATGGCACAACCCTGATCCTCTTTGGTAAGTTCTGGTAAGCTTATTTTGTTTCCATGCCAAGGCCCATCGTTCGGTCCTTTCTCTGGAGCCTAAATGGTGCACCGAAAGCCTGGAGACATGAAACCGGCCAATCCGACCAGTTGGACAACTGGAGAAGCCACGTTTTCCCAGCCGTGTCCCACTTGCGATGAACCCTCCCCGCGATGAGCCCTCCATGGGCCGCGCGTAGGTGTAGGGTCGGCCAGGTGAAAACGGGCTTCGCGCGCGCGGCCAGGAGACGACCAATGACTATGAGCGCACTCCCAAGGACCAGCAGGCCGGGGAGCCAGTTCACACCGTGCAGCGATCCAGTTCGCGGTGGATCCGCACTTCAGAAGGAGGCCGAGAGTCTGCATCCGACGAAGCGCAAGTGAGACCCGAGGTTTTCGGGGCCGTGCCCACCGGAAAAACGCCAGACCTGACAGTGAGGGTTTTGGTATATTTGGCCCTTTTTTTGGCGGGCAGAAAGCGTGTCTCAAACATTGCCGTGCTTGTTGACCAGCCTGACGCGTGGTGGTCAGCAGTTTGGTGTGCTACCCAGCAAGAGCGAAGTGGAGTATGCTGGGAAAGGTTCCTCCTTAACCATTGATGACTTTTTGGGCTTGTTGAGCTTTAAATCCGCCCGTCGCACCGAGAGGATCTTCGGACCAAATCGCCATATACCTGGGCCATCCTGTTTGGGTGTCCTGGCTGGACTACCCTACACTACGGAGGGATCTCCAGCCAGGACACCCAGACAGGATGACCCCAGTAGGTATGGTCACAGTGGAAAAAGATGGATCAAAGATGACACTGACATGTGAGATAGATGGATCAAACCACCCATGGTAGGTCTTGTCCCTCCTTAGGATCGTCACATCCATCTCACAGGACCTTTGCGTGACGGTATTGTCAGATGGTAGGTCTTGTCCCTCAGGTATTGTCACATCCATCTCACGACGTGACCAGTCTGACCTGACGAGGACCGGTCTCTCAGCCTGTCTGGCAGGTCATCGACAAGGCCCTGAAGGTCTCGAAGAAGATGGTCGATGTATTGGGTTCCTGGGAGGGACGGCAGAGAGACGGCAGCGAAAGAGAGCGAAAGAGAGAGAGAGAGAGAGATGGGAGAGATGTGTAGAACAAACCTGAGGACCTAGGAACAACACAAGAATTTGACTGCTACAATAGATGGAACTTACAAGTGCAAGATGTCTTCCATCAAGAATCAAAGAGTATGATACTGAGATGTCTCGTTTGGTGACTGCATCACGGAGGAGTAGGTGGTGATGGGTGAACGCTGAAAGGGAAAACAAACGGGTGACGGTGGGCATAAGATTCAGATGTACCCCATGACCAGTAACAGTCGGTAAAAGTGTATCACTGGGTTTCAGACCTGCAATGATACAAGAATCATCCACTGGTCCATGGTAATGTGATGCACTGGTACCCAAGTGGGCACATTATACCCTGGTGTGATGTGTCATCTATCCCCGATTTTCGAAGACTCTACCCCTTCAGACTCCAACGATGCGGCCATGTTTCTCTCTCTCAGGTATACGTATACTTCATTTGGAGAGTCTACGGACAAGTCGACACTTCGAGGGGAGGGGCTGCTGGCACTGTGTTTTGGCCGCCCGAGGCAAGGCCAAGTCCAACGATGCGGCCATCAAGGCACATCTCAGCAGCTGGGCGACCGACCTGGACGTCACGGGTGAAGTGGAGCCAGCTCCGAGCAGTGAAAGTGGATCAAAAGGTCACAACATGTGGAGGAAAGGATGAGGAACGCATGGAAGGGGTGTGGTGATGGTCCACCAAGCATGGTGTTTTTGGCCCGTGAGTGTCCACAGTCCAAGTAGATATGATATGATCATGACTCTTGTTTTTTCCTGCGGGGCAGTCTATCCAAAGGGCTTAATATCTATAGCCACAAATGCTTACAATATCATCAACAAAACGAGGAAGCTTTACCGGCCTTTTGGATGTGTACAGTTTGCTGATGTTCCAGCCTCATCATAAAGTTGGCTTGAGGTCTCTGACAAAAACCTGTCATCACTTGGTTGGGCCAGGCATGGATGTTTGGGCGTCCTGGACGGTGCTACTGCCGACCGTCCTGTCCGGCCTTCTGCAGATCGCCCACCCAGGACAGACCGGCGATCCGCTGGTCTACGACGATGGGAGCACTCAAGTGGACAATGCGACGGATCCCGGGAAGCAGGCACGTCACCGGGCACGTCTCGGTGGCACGTCTCCGTGGCACCGGGCTGACGGAGCAAGGTGCGAGTAAACCGGCGGATCCGGTGTTGGGAGCGATTTCGTTCCTTGGTGTGTCACCTGGGAACTTCTTAAAGAAAAAACTTAATTTGCACGAAGGGAACCATGTAAGGTTTACTTGGGGGTTGGCTATGTACAGTTGTTTTCTATGGAGGAAATCCACTCAGGAAGGGCCTTATGGGCCCTTTTTGCCAGCAATTGCACCTCGGCCCTTTTTGGTTTGGCTGGGAATGCCCAGCTAGTTCCTTTTCAACAAGAGCCATACAAGCACGTCTTCTTAACATGCTGCTCACACAAAACACGCTCAGATTCTCTGAGAGAAACACATTTTTAGCTTCAAGATTAACAACAATAGCTTCATATGTACCGCCCTCTCTGTTTATACCCTTTAATATCTCCGCTTATTTGCCTGACCATGGCGGCCACATGGCCCGTGCCCCTGCCCTTTTGCCTTTGTTCTTCCTCCGCGCCCGGGCGCGGAGCACGGGGCCGGCGCAGGTTGGAGAGCTGGCGGAAGGTGTGGCGAAGCTGGCGAAGAGGTGCCCGGTGAACAGCCGAAGGGGGGAGCAATACCCCGGACGGAAGATGGTATAAGTATCTTGTTGTCATCCTGGAGTAGATAGGATATGGAAAAAAATCTAGAACAAGATTGGAAACTGGTCATGTGTTTTTGATTGGTTCATATTCTAGCTACTCCAGGACATGTTTGTACCCCATATGGCCATATGACACTCTTTCAGTCCCATGGAGTCGGAACACCAACACCACGGAACACTGGGACCTCGGGTGGTGCTTGTCCAAGAGCTACTACTCCTCGGAAGATGTCTCACCGCTTTAGCTCGCTTTAGCTCGCTTTAGCTGGTTAGCCCCAGATTTGTGAAGATTGGTCAAGTGCCGATTCAATACCCTTTGCTCCTCCAAGAGTATGAGTTTAGTCCATGTGTGGAAAGGACCTCAATAGTATTCATATACGGACGTTTCCAACATTCACTGAGGCGTGGCGATAAGAAGACCTTGAAGAAGGCTGAAAGTCGCGTGCTGCCTGGCTGGCAATGATCGCGTGCCTGCAAGAGGAGTGGAGCTATGAACAAGCAAACAACCATGGAATTCATGGTGCCAACCTCCCAGGCAAAACAACCAGAAGAGTCCATGCTAGAGAGGCGACCAAAGAAACAACACTACTAGGATGTATTGTTTTCCAGAGCTACCAGTTCATCCTTTTTGTGTTTCATTGAGATGGAAGAATCACGAGTAAGAACATCAAAGGACCTTAGAGGCACACAAGAAGCTCGTGTCCATTTACCGCCAGCACCTTTTTTTTGGACGAGTACTTGATGAACCATTGCTCCATTCTTCCAGATTGGTGATTCGGTGATGTTGCTTTGTTTGCATGTCTTGAAGTGGTAGTCGGTTTGAAGTGGTAGTCAGATTGGTGAAATGCATGTTCATTGTGTTTTTTTTTCTCAGTTCTAGTCGTAGCTGCAGAATCACCACAGGGGAAACATGTGAGAATGACCACCGTCTTCCACGATGAGCCTCCCGGAGCGGACCCAGGTTGCAGCACATGCAAACGGTCCAGAGAATGGTCGATGGAGCTCAGGAGACCAGTCCGAAGCAACTGAAGAGTGCAGAGATGCGGTGCGTTGACGGATGTCAGCCACCCAAAGTCAGACTGTCAGACTCCTGCAGGGCCTTCAAGGGGTGGTAGACATGGACACCCCGAATCACAGCGTTTCGGGGCTATAGATAGACACCCCGACAGGAGGGTCCTGGCAGACACCATGGCAACGTTTTTTCAATCCCAGAGCTTGAAGCTGATGTCCACGCACACACCAGCAACCGACATCAGGAGGTCAATGAGATTCCAGGCGGGCGGACTGGACTCCTGCGCGAACCTGAAGCCATTGTTTTTTGTAGGCAGGTTTGAGGCGGGTCTGTCCTAATACCATCTATAACAGTCGGTAAGCAATTGTCACTATTTTTCAGACAGGCCTTTACTAACCATCATCCCACTGTTACTGGCCATGGCATAGATGATAGACCCAAGTCATGAACCCTAATCGTCCAGGGTCAGTTGCAGAACGTTCCGGTTCGGCCACACGGCCCGACGTCCATCCCCGTTCCGAACCTCGGCGGTTGCGGCGCGGTGCAGGCGACGCCCGGGAGATCCTGGACGATGCGCCGGAGGACGAGGCGTCCCAGCTGTTGGACGATGTGCAGATGGCCTCCGCCGAAGGCGACGCGGTGATGACCGCGGTGATGACCGCGGTGAGGACCGGTCTCCGCGGTCTCACGGTGGTTGAACCTATGGCCGCCTTTATAGGAATTTAGGAGTCCGGGCTGCCTAGGTCGGGTCGTGAAACCCAGGTTCTTCGAGGTGCGAACGCTTTCAACAAATGTGGTCCGCTTCCTCTGGTATTTCACGGTACTGTTTTTCGGTCTTGGAGTCGGATCATCGCTTGGAGTCCGCCACCCCACACCGGCGCGGGCGGTCAAGCCGTTCACCTCACCACACCAGCCGCTTGTCACACCGACCGGTGCACAGGTCCGGAGGACGAAGTGGATGCGGCGGAGAGTTGGGAGGTGGATGAGTTGGATGTGGAGAAGATGGACGGTTTCACTCGAGCACCTTGGATGGGCGCCCGATGGCGCCCGATGATTCCAGTCCGCGTAAACCCGGAGTTTGGGGCGGCGGGCGAACGATTGTCCCTGCCGGTCCGAAAGAGGAAAGACATGAAGGCCCACATGGCAAAGATGTTTCGATGGACTTGCATTCCGAAGACCTTCAGATCACAGTGTGGGTGACTTTGCATATGTTAGGGCCGTTGTCCCGCCTTCACTCCCACCTGGTATTTGCAGTGGATTGGGTGCCCGTGTCTTTCGGCCTTGTCCGCTTGTACAGGTAGACTCTAACATGGACGTGGAACAACCGCTGCTCCTATAGAGAAAAAGGGGCCTTTCCAGGGCCTATGTTCCATTTCCATGTTAGTGGGTCAGAGTGTAGGCTTGTTGCTTTTCAAGAAAATAATATCAGGTCCCAGTGTGATAGCATACCCTCCCTGAATCACAAAGATTGACAAACCCTTCCAGTAGAGGAAAGGCACCATCTCCTGTACCTACGCAGTTTTCATTGTTGGTCTAACACTCCTCGATCACCACTCTGGAATCTATAAGAGTCACAAGGCCTAGCATGGCCAAACCATTTTCTCCGGTGTGCAGTTTTGACATCAAACAGTCGACAGACCAGGGGCTGGTTGGCCCCAAGGGTTTTCGAGTGCTTCCATGCCCTCAAATGATGACCAGGGATCTTAAGGTAATTCAGTGATTACCAGGAAGTACAGGTCCAAATACCCAGACACAACCACTATGACTGGAAGATATGTGCGTCCCATTGGATTCCCATCACTCGTGGGATCGGTGCCCTTGCCCTGTCCTCCTCGCACCGAGGCCAAGCTGTGTGAGACCTTGCCCAGTTGCTCGGATCCGGTCAGAACAAAGAAAGAGATCCCCAGTGACCTGTGGGAAGATCCAAAACGGATGATCCAGTGGTTTGAGAGGTGAGAAATGGCACAAACCACCAAGATGTCCTTGGATATCGTTTGATATGGGATGATATGGGGGTCCATACAAAACCCACCGACATTGGGGTAACTTGTGCCGTCTACTCCCGCTAGCCAAAGTCTTGAGGTGACAAGTTTATTTGGGTTTTCCTGGTTCGGTTTGTTTTTTACATTTCCAAGTCTTGATGTCTTGGTCTTACATGTTGCCCTCGATCAGACTCCCCCGACTCCCCCGACCAGACGGAAGGAACAAAAACGGCGTCAGCCTGGTTGTCTAAGACATTCTACGACGGACCAAGAGCTGATGTCACGATGTCATCCTTCTGTGCATCGAGCCTGCGAGCTTTGGCGAGATTGAAAACGACAGACGTTTTCATGAAAGGCCATGGAAGGGGTGTAAATGACGGACACCAGCACGTACAGAAACCTGTTTGTTGGTGGACTAAATGATTAGATCACCCCTAGCAGATTAGTTATACAAAGGTCGTCCATGCCACAGGTGGCCCTGAGTGGTGGGAACTGCGTTGAACTAGACACACCACACCCCTACTGTCGAAGGAAGAACACCCTACATCTTATTACCATTCTCCCAAGCTCGCAGCGGTGGCGTGGTTTCTTTCCCAACGGTAGCATCAGCGGCTGGGATTCTCCAAGGCTTGGATTGCGACGCCTGCGGGCAGAACGCCAGCAGCCTCGACGAGTATCAGGGATGTGTGGCACAGGTCTGCCAGCTTCGCACCGAACTCAGCGGTTCGTCCCATCGAACTCTGCGGTTCCGCCCCAGCCAGCTGCCAGGGATATCATCCGACACAGAAAACAAGAAGATACTCCCAAATGCCATGGCCGCCAAGGTCGAAGGTTCGTGGTGCTTTTTCGGTCCTCTTCCCGGGGCGGTTGGGGAGTCATCCAAAACTATTGGTGGAAGGGTCCTTTATTTGGGGGGCCTGGGGGTTGTCCTATTAATTACCTGTAACCGTCAGTAAATAATTATCACTGATATCACTTTTTTTTTGAACAAGGCCTGCAGCCTCACCATCATCATCCACTCAAACCTGGTAACAGGATAGACCCTAGGGGTCTAGGGATACTGTGAGAAACGTATGTGATCGTGCCACATGTTCTCCAATATGTGTTTCTTTGCTTGTTTCCAGGAGATCATGGTCTATCAGAAGGAGCGCAAGCAGAAGGACCTGCGGAGCATGTACGGCTCTTTGGCAGTGGGGCGGGCTGGATCAGTCCTGATTGTTGAAGTGAAGCATCATCCTCCACCTGAAAGTCATGTACTGTATCACTCAGGTGAAACAGGTTCGACGTGCTGTGGTATAGCATGCTATAGCCCTACAGTGAGAGAAACATCACCTGAGATGAGTTTGAAAGCCTTGCTTTTCGTTGGAAGGAGGCAGTCCTTCAGGTTGGTATGAAACATTGACACTCTTTGTGCGCCCAATCGGAATACCTAATGATCGAAATCAGAAGAAGTGTTGTTTGCAGGTGGTTGTCTAAGTTGATGATCCAGAAGAATCCACAAAAGAAACACCCAAAGTGCTTGGACATCATTTCCACTGAGGCAAGCAGTTGGACCAGACAGTCGAAAACAGAAAGAAGCACCTTGGCCCAGCGATGTGATCGGACCACCTGGGAGCACCCTGAAATGTTTGAAGCATCAAATGGGGAACAACAGATGATGAATCCACTCCATGTATGGCGTATGGCATCTTATGCGCCTTCTATGCAAATTGGGGTGGTTGGTTTCAGGGGTCAATTTGGGTGTAACTGGTGAACCCATGTATGGCGTATGGCATCTGAAGATGCGTTTTCTGTGCCAGAGAAGAAGGGTGGCCACTTCACGAGTGTATAGTCGTTCTGTTTCCTGGAACGACCTGGGGTCAGGAGGCTGTCAACATCCATGATCTGCACAAAACTAGGAAGAAACTCCTTTCTACCAGGACACCCAGGCCAGTACCAAATGCATTTTCCATTTCAAGTAAAGACAGAAGATGACCAGCCTTTGACAAACTTGTCTCTCCTTTTTCAGCCGCCAACCTTGCATCATTGCCACAGATTGTCCCTCAAGAAAGTCAAACAGTGCACTTCGCTTCCTAATGGATTGCCGGTCAATTCCATCCGCCACTCATTTTTTTGGGGTGTAGTGTCCTGTCAGCTTCATCTCCCCGACTGCGAAATCACAGGGTCAAGCACCTCAAGCGTGGAGCCCTCTTGGCGGCGCACGATGCCCTTCAGATGCTCGGTTTGGGACCAGGTGAAACCCTGTCAGGTTCACCTGGAAGCGCTATGTTGAATGAACACCAAGTACTGTGAACCGTGCCAGTGAGCAGCAGATGCAGGAACAATGAACGTGACAACGCTCTTTCAAATTTGTCCACCCCAAACAAACACTCGATTTGATTGAAACAGGTTGGCCAAATGTAGAAGGGTAGAAGATGGGTCGAACAACTTAAAAATCAAGTCAATGGGGTGGGGCCGTGGGGCAATCTTCGAGTCGCATGAGCGCCGGGCCTGTAGATGTCACGAATTGACCATGCAGGTCTGGTCTGTTTCAACAAGTCCAGCGGTCAGGTCAGGAGAGAGTTTAGGCGTTGGATGGAGTAATGAATTGTTTGGGGTATAGGGGAGATGTTTGCAGAGGTAGTCCCAACTGCCCAGAATTTTGGAAGATGGATCTCCTGCTGGCAGGGTGGCTTGCCCCAGGCAAACAGTGTCATTCTCTTGGGTAATGTTCTTTTCCATTGGTTCCATAAAGGCCGGCCACATCAGACCTTCCCATCCCAGATCATGCATGGCCTATTTACCTACATTGGGTTGACCTGAGGTCAATGTAGACCTCTATGACTCTATCCAACCCGTTCTGCCCGAGCTATAATGGCCCTTTTATGGTGAGCTATAGCTGCTTTGGAGTTGTCTCCCACTCCCACGTCCACTCACATGCATCGTGCACGGGTCCGGAGGATTTGGGGCGTGCACCGCAACTGGGCGCGTTGGACCTCTGATCCCACGTGGCCTTTGGAAGCCTTGAAAGGCGACTTTGGCGGGAGGACGGGTGAGGACGGGTGGAGCACGGGTGGGCGAATGGTGCTTTGGAGGGCTCAGAAGGGTGGAGGACGGGTTGTAGATGGCTTGACTTCTTGGGACCGATGATGTGTCCACATCACTGTAGAACTACAGTATCACTTGCTATCCTAGCTAGCCTTCCTTTTTCGTCTCCACACACTCTCTCTGCAAAACACAATCAGGACCTTCCATCCTGTGATGTGGTGGCCGAGAAACTGATTTACATGCAGACATTATAGCCTTAGGCCCCTGTAGGATCGCCCATCCACCAAGAGGGAGAGAGAGAGGGGGCATACCCCGACTAGAGCAAAGACGTCGGCCTTCATCCGCCTTCATCCATGTCCATGGAATTTCTGCCAAATCTCATCAAAACTCGACCATTTTTGCCACATGGCTGGCACCAACACCGAATGGCTGGACACCAAACCGCCCTGGATTCCGCAACGAAGGCGAACCCGCGAAGGCGGGCTGGGATGCCTTTACGACCGATTCCCAGGCCCGCTTTGGGAGCGACGGTTAGGGACTCCAAACGTGAGGGATCTCATGGATGGATAAGAAGACTCGTGGTGCAGAAGACACGTGTTCAGTTGACCTTCTCAAGAAGGAACCGGTGGATCCCTAAGACAGGTGACACATGTTTTGAAGTTGGAGGAGGGATATGGGGGAGTGTACTCAGTCTTTTTGGCGATCTATGAACGACTGCGCGGTTACACCAGAGTGTTGTTTGTGAACCACTCTGTGTGAAGAAGCCATGACCACCATGGACTATGTGGGACCGGACCCAGGTTCCAACTTGTGAATGTCCGTGGGATTTCTTGTGAAGTCTCTTGTTTTTTTGTTTGGTGCTTGAGATTGGCGACTCTGTATTATTTCCTTTGAATATTCTAGAGTCTATGAGTCTATAGAAATGCCTCATGTTACGGCTACGGTCCTTTTTCACCCTCAACTTCAACAGGGCCAACATGGCCAAGGGCCACTTGTCTCACGGTCACCCCAAATGCCAAATAAGATTGCGGAGAGAAGGTCTTACCAGGAGTCACAAAGGGGTGCCTATTGGAGCATAGGGGTGCCCATCAAATATCCACTCACTTAGACTTAGGGACTAAAAAGCACCCTTTTGTGACCCTGGTGTATATTTTTCATATGTCTCAATGCCTATTGGGGAGGTTTTGTTGACTGTGCGCACGACTGGAAGTGGCAGTAAAGGACCCACGAACCGAGGTTCATATTCCGCTCCGCTCTGCTCCATTGATCATTTTGACTTTGACTTGATTCATTTGTAGAATAGTGAATCAAACAAGATGAGGTCACTGACCATATATATATTTCTTTCTGGCTTTCTTTTGTTTAGGTGGTTTTTTAGTCTTTGTGCGAATCCTTGTGGGGGGAAGATCTTTTATTGTTTTACCCTACATCCTTGAGGAAGTCTATACCTGTGTGTCATTGTCATCAATTAGTTTGATCATGCTTGATCATTTACTTGCTTTTCGACCCCACTCACCAGGACTCCAACCATGTATACCTGCAGGGGTCCGCGGCACCGTTCGCACCGTTCGCGACGTGGAAACGCCAGCCGAGGCCATCGTGACGTCTCACATCAACGACTTCCAGACCGAAGCCGTCTCCATCGCACAGGCCACGGAGATCGTGGCCGGAGAGCGGCACGTCGGTCTTGAAGTCGGCTTGGTCATTTGAGCCCAGACACTTTGCAGAAGGAAGGATTGCATCTGTTGCTTGGTCACTATCCCCGTCTCTCCATCTGCACCGACACCAGGAGGAGGGGATGGCCTCCGCCGACACCATCTACCAGGGCCACCTGGCGGAGCACGTGGACGCGGCGCAGGAGCTGCAGACGGGTGCAGAAGAGCTCATGGCGCAAGGAGCCAGGGGATGGAATGGCACGATGTGGCGGGAGGATGGAGAGTCTATAGTCTTGATTGGCTTGCTGCTTGGCTTGTAAATCATTGGGGCATATCATGCGATTGCCGTTCCTCAAGCAGGAAGCTTGATTCCGGTACACGAAGCCTCAGGAGTCAGTTCTTTTGGCCCTTGATGTAGCTTGTAGAGTCGCATGTGATGTTCAATGGAACTTAGCTTTAAGCCGATGACATTTGCAAAGCCGGGCTCCTGGAAGATTTGACTGGAGATCCTGCGAGTGGTGTGTTCCCATGTGGTTCCTATATGGATTCCTACTCTTGCCTGACTTTGTTCCTATCTTGCCTATTCTTGCCTGGGTCGGAGTGGGTTTCGCTACAGTTGACAGAAGAAATCCAACAAGTTCAGCACACAAGACACCGTGAATCAAGATAACATATATTTGTCCGGCTAATAATGTTTTGGGTGTCTCGAACCCTTTCCCTGAACAGAACATGTGTCGCTATGTCAAGTTTGAACGGGCAGGGATCAGTTTCATAGTGGCAAAAGCAGCTGATATAACTAATTAGACTAAAGTTCTGAAAGAACCCATTATTATTTGTGTATAGGGGTCTGTTTGCGCGGGTTTGCCTACACATTGCAACCATACCTTACGTCACCATGGGTCGGACTCAATGGATGTATATATAATGGGGTAAATGGATGGATGTAACTCTTCAATACCATTCACTCACTAGGCTGTGTATAGGCTATATCAATGGAAGAGTTCCACTCTTCAAGACGAGGACCTGCCGCATGGACCTGTCGTCCTTGTTTCTCAGGAGCCGAGATGCAAGAGTCGGCCACTGGGATGATCGGAGACGTCCAAGGCAGCGGCTTGGCGTGAACGGCGCGGGAGCTGGGACATGGGGGCGGCGAGGGGGGGTCAGGCAGGAGGTTTGGCAGGATAACCAACATGATTTTCCCAGAAGCTGAAGATGGGAGACGTGCATGTTCCATCTTAAGCTCGGGTTTTACGGAGGAACATCATTGAGGAAAACAATGCCGCCAGAGCACGCCACTGTGACTTTAAGTCCAGATTCCAGATATCTTTGCAACAGCTCGGGGGTGACATGTTTGGGCGCTGGAACTACTGATTGAAAACATCCTGCGGGATTCTTTGGAGGATGGAAGTGCAGATAAACTACGGGATGTGAGCCCAAGTGCTGCATTTTGGTATATTTATACCCTGCCTACACATTCACCACAAGCATGTCCCCGTCATGCAGACCAGAGTTACACCGTTCATGGAGAGTGGCGCAGCTCCGCCGGAAATTCGCTTTGAAAGGAAAGGGGACACAGAACACGCCCAGACAATCCATGTCTGGGAGGCTTGCCCCATTGGGTTCCGAGCGGTTGAACAAGGATTTTGGTTGAGATGGACCGATACTCCCTGAACAAAAACCATAGGCCAACGTGAATGGTCAGGCCCCGAGTTCATCCGAGTTCAGATGACCATGATTTTTCCCCTGCAGACCAAATAGGTGGTGGTGGTGGTGAACTCCACTTCCAACAAAACCACCCCTCGTCAACATTGACTTCCTTCACCTTTTGCAAGGAAGCGTCCCAGACTCGGCTGCTTTGAGGCCTTGGGCAGGTCGCTCTGAGTTCCCTTCGTGTCGCGCCCGAGGTATGGCAGAGGCCCAGGCCATCCAGGCCGATTCCATGGCACTGCAGGTGGGGAGACAACGGACACCGGTTCCAGGTGAATGACGAGTGGCGACAGTGGCTGAGTCTGGGTGATTTGGGTGTTGGTTTGTTTTGATCAGTTTTTCCCCAAATAGTGCTCCGCACTAAGGGGTTCTTACGGTAAGAGTTAAGGGCCGGGTTTAGATCAGGGTTCGCGCGTGTGGTTGCGGCATTTTGCGTGGGCCTCATGTCCATTTCGACTGCGCAGGCTCGCATAAAGTGGGTGTCGCGGTTTTCGCGCTTCCGGGACAAAGCTCTCGTGCAGGTGCCGTGCTCGTTTTCGGACATGAAGTGCATTTTGCGTGGCAGGCGCAAGGAATTCGACACATTGGAGCCTCGAACAGGTCATTTTACGTGGCAGGTGCAAGGAATTGGAGACTTTGCAAATTTCGTGGCAGGCGCAGTGTTTTGTGGACGTTGCAAAAACGTTGGCAGGCGTGTGTCATTCGCAGGACTGCGTTTCACGTGGCAGGCGCAGGGAATCCGCACCATGGATGCGATATTTTGAGGTGAAACGGCTGAATTCGTGAGAGGGGTCGCATTTTTGGAATTTGAACTTGAGGATGATTTTGCGTGGCCAGTGCAGCATTTCGTATGACCTGCAGGCATGATTTCGTGGCAGTCACAGCATTTCTGAAACGCATTTCAAAATTTGCGAAAGCCTCGTGCAATTTGCTCATTTTGGATCTCCGATGTGCAGATTTCGTGGCAGGCGCAGCACTTTGTGAATCTCGATGTGCAGATTTCGTGGCAGGCGCAGCACTTTGTGAATCTCGATGTGCAGATTGCGTGGCAGGCGCAGCACTTTGTGAATCTCGATGTGCAGATTTCGTGGCAGGCGCAGCACTGTGTGAATCTAGATGTGCAGATTTCGTGGCAGGCGCAGCACTTGCTGAGTCTGGAAGTGCAGATTTCGTGGCAGGTGCAGCACTTTGTGAATCTCGATGTGCAGATTTCGTAGCAGGCCCAGCACTTTGTGAATCTCAATGTGCAGATTTCGTGGCAGGCGCAGTACTTTGTGAACCTCGATGTGCAGATTTTGTGGCAGGCGCGGTACATTGTGAACTTCGAAACGCTCCTATGTACTCGCCTGTGTGCTCCCAGATTTGTGCTTGTATGTGCTCTCACATTTGTGCTCTCAGATGTGTGCTCTCATGTGCTCTCATATGTGCTCCCATATGCTCTCATATGTGTGCTCTCATTTGTGCTCGTGAATCTCGATGTGCAGATGTTCTTGAAGGGTTTTGAATTTCAATGAACTTGCCGTTTTGGAAGTTGTTGGCTCGACCACCACCGTCAGCGGCACCTTCACCACCACCAGTGCTTCCGCATCTGCTGCTCTCATCTGTGCACTCTCACATTTGTGCTCTTGTATGTATCCTCTCATATTTGTGCTCTCATCTGTGTGCTCCTTCTTTCCTTCCACGTGATGCCATGTTCCATCTGTTCCTCTTTACACTATTTGGGGTCCCTTGCCGGTGTAATTTTTTTTGTGTGTGTGTGCGTGTGTGATATGATTTGAAACTCACCCTTCGGGCGTCCCTGGGGCTTTTTGGGGAATGATTCCAATGACATGTCAGACAGTCAAGTTCTATGTTAGTTTTCGGGAGACTCTTTGCCTGCCGCCACGCATGGCGGTGGAATTGAGCGTTTCAGGCGGAGATGCAGCAGACCAGCGCTGCTTTGCAGGTGGGACGATTGGACGCGACCGGGGCGAAGGAAATGGGTGAAACTGGCCATTGGAATTAAATTACAGTAGGTACAGTAGCAACATTGGGGTCATAATAGGGTCAATGTAAGCATAAGATAGTATATATATATATATAACATTTATATAGATATTATAAGTTATAAGAGAGTACTGGTATAAGTATAAGTATGTTTAAGTAACATTCTAGTTCCATCATGCCCGATTCCTGGTTCAACAATTCTGGATCGGTTGTTTGTACCTGAAGAGGTGCCCTTCTTGTTGGCACTTCTTTCTTCATCTCAATGTCTCATTCCACCAGTGACCAGGGCTACCGGACCCTACCGCAGAAGGCGGAAACCGGAAGAAGATCCCTTCATGAGGGTTAACACATGATTTTCAGATATTTTCAGTCGTACTGATCGTACTGTCGTTGATGGTGTCACATGTTTGTGTTTTCAGTGTTTTTCCCACTGCTTTCCCGGCCGGAGCCAACCGGGTTTGGCAGGTCGAGGTGGAAAACTGCCAGCAGCCCGTGAACCCTCTCACGGGAGCCTCCTCTTGCGATCCAGCGGACGCTTGGCCCTGTGCTGTTTGGCACACCAAAAGGCTTGGAGGATCATGCGTGCATGTTCAAGCTCCAAGAGCGACCACCTCAAGCTCCAAGAGCGACAGCTCTAGCAAATTCCCGCGATGTGGTCAGAAAAACTGGGGCTAAGCCTCAGGGGTCTGAGAGGTAGTTGAGATGTGATCAGCCAACTTGGCCAGGTCGGTTTAGAGCCAGTGCTTGTTCTAACTCCCTGACTGATCTCCCTGAAAAAACATGATGGAAGTGGATGGTATGGCCCCCCTGAGTTTCCCATGAATTCCTCTACAAACCGGTGAGTTCACTTCCATGATGATGCCAGAGAGTGATTCAGTGACCTCTTGGATGTGGACCTGTCATGCCTGGAGTGTGACCGATTTCGGACAATACGCGTGCCGGTGTCCAGCAAGAAGGCTTTCCAACTCGAGGGGGTGTCACTCTGCCATGTTTGCTAAGGCTGTCGCTGTCGCAGGGTGTTCCCTATTTACAACTAAACACCTGAGGCTAAAAAAAGAAGACAAACACGCACGCGCTGCCCAATCCATTCACGCATGGTGTTCATCCGAGGAGAACGATGAACATTTCCGCATCGGACCAGTTCTTTTTGGTCAGGTATGAACCCTTGGATGCTTGTTGCCATGTGTCCATTGTCGAAATCAACTTGGATGAAGGTTCCAACTCAACTTGCACCTTAGAGGACTGTGTTTTTTCGTGTACCAGTGGTCAACTCAGCTTCCAATGTGACTTTTGTGGGCTGGATGTTTTTCAGTGCTGTGAAAACCACACTATACTATATTACCTCGTTCTACAATTTGTTGGTACGCGGCGATCATATCTTGCATCAGTGAAGTGCAAGACTGTGATCATTGGCGATTCGGCCGTTCCATGACATGGCCGCGCTGTTCGCTTCGGCCCCGCGCGTCGAGACCCGCCGAACCGAACCGTGACGCAGCTCCACCCCCCTCGAGCGCCTGGAGCCGAGGAGATCCAGCGCCTGACCACCGAAATGGATGGCCACCGGGCCGAAGCCCAGGAGATCTCCGACCGCGCCTCGGCGCTGGGCGAGGACCGGTGGCGAAATCGCCAAAGCTTTCGGGGCAAAGCTTTCGGAGCAAAGCATATTTTACCCTGACAATGTCAGGGATGGAATAGTTGCATACAAGTGCATACATTTGTCCATAATTCCTCCCATTGATATCCATTTATGACCTATCCATGTAATTATGTTGTGTTTTCATAATATGGATGGTTTGGGAGATAGATTGAAGTGACTGCTCCAAAAGGCAAGCTCAGTCTGGATTCGAAACCATTTGAAACCTAGATCCATCCCCTCCAGTTCCTCCAGTGTTGGCCGAACATCGGAGCCTTGCAGGATATGCAGGTGCACTCCGAGGAGGCTCAGCAGATGGCGGCTGACGCGGAGGCCATGGCGGCCGATGCGGAGACCTTGCAGCTTGGAACAGAGAGACGCTGTTGGTGGAGCAGTTCGCAAATGCTCATCGTTTAAAGAGAAGCGTGGCCATGGGCCATACCAGTTTGAGGTCAGAACTCACGCAACCGGACGGGCAAGCTATTCCTCATAGAAATGGGACGAGGCTTCACTGCTCATTAAATTCCAACATGTTCCGACAAACACATAAACACATGTTTGTATGTACAACATGGGATATTGTTATTATTCACCCACTGACTCATTTGTTTTTCATTGGTCGAAGTCACGGCTTGGTCGATGGGGTTGGAACTGCTTTCGCGGCTCAGCTGATATCATGGTGTTTGGCGGGGCAAATGTGCGACCCTTGGAGTGTGTCTCATGGCCTGCAACATCCGTTTCCTCCTCGTCGTCATCCTGTATCGTCGTCATCATCACGTTCATCAACCTATTCAATATAATTTGGCCAGTAGGATATATATATATATATACATACCGTATTACCCAAATCGTGCATTCATAAAGACATATAAAGACCTTTTGAGGCTATACTTTCGTGCCCCAGACTCTGACCGACCATCCCAGGAAGAACGACGCGCTGCAGTTGAAAGACGCTGCTTTGGAGGAGTTCTTTGGAGGAAACATGAGAAACCTGGGAGGTGTTGACCAGGCTGCGTGGAACTCTGCTGTTTTGAGTATGTTGTTTCATATTAGTGCATTCTATAGTTACAGCCACGGCATCAAAGGTCGGTTGTTTGCAATTGGTGTTGCATCTACATGTCATTCTTGGGCTGGGGAACACTCTGAAGTCCAAACACGCTTCTTATTTGCCCTGGCGGCACGCAATGTGCTTTTTGCCGGAAACCAAGGCAGGGTATGGACTTGCTCAGTTGCTGTTTGAATGCTATTTAAGCATTTGGCCTTTCGTCCAGGAGGCACACACCGCTTGCACATATAATATACAGGGGAAGCAGTCCTTGTTCGAGTTTGGGGCCAGCAGCATCCAGGGTTACACAATGTTTGATGAAAAGCCAGACCTTGACCCTTGCTGGGCATTACCATAGAATGCGGGCCTTATCCAGTAGAACCCAATCAATTCTTGGAACCCCACAACAACTGATCTAATCATATCTCATCACTCCGTTAGGCCATTTCTTTTATATCACCAAACCTGGCCCCGAATCCCGCGCACGGACATCCGCACGCACGCATGACGCGCCCATGCGAGACCCAAGGCTCACCGCGGACGAGACGTTGCAGGCAGTGCTGGAGGAGCTCATCGACTGCGCCAAGCGCATCGCCAACCGTTTCTTGGTGTAGGTGCTTCGCACGGCGATCATCTAGAATAAATATAGAGGATCGAGATGTTCTGGAAAGGGGGGTGCCACAAAAACAAACATTTGCGAAGCTTGTTTGGGATGAGCTAGCGTCAAGGGAAATGAGGAGCAGCAAAGAAGGGTTCAAATGAGGCTTTCCGAGACTTGCTTCCGTCAGAGTATGTCAGAGTGAAAATCTGAGAGAGACTTCGGCACTGGCTCATTTTTAGCCCTCTCACTTCGCAATGCCTTCTGTTGCTTTGAGATGAAATTTGGATGTCCATAATGGATTTGCTAGGACGTATAGGGCCGACAAATCACCTTCTTTTTTTTGTTTTCACAACATGGTGTTTGCACATGATGCAGGATGCAGGACAAGGTATCCTCCATTGACTCCTTCAATTCCCTGAAAGTGTTTTTGCTGACAGATGGTACGAATGTTCCAAAACCTCAAGTGGCTTGCTCCTGCCCCATTAAATCAACCTCATCTCCTGCTGGTCGAAAGGGCTTTTGAGAACACAGGCTATGTGTGTCTTTTAGAAGGTCAAGCGTTTGAAGCTAATATTAGTTTTAATCATGCAAATGTGGTTTTGGGATGTTGTGGGTTTGCCATTCTTTGCCAGAACCAAGGGATACAGCAGAAGCTTTGCCGCAAGGCCCAGAAACTACATGTTGTCTAGTAGTTTTCAACACGAGGAAAGGTTTGTTCATTATGGTTTGTTCCTGCTTCTTCCTTCTAGGGAGGGTTTCACACCTTTCCTCTTTGGTTGGAGTTTCGCCGGTTGGCCGTTTCTCAGATTCAGGAATCCTCGATTTGGCCGCCGAGACCATCAAGCCACTTGGATGTGGGATCCCTTTGGCTTCCGAGTGGATCCGGCTGGCGGGATCCGGATGTCGCCTCCCCCGGCGTGGTTTTCCCGCCTACATGGTATGTCGAGGAACATGGTCAACCCGCCAGATCCAGTCGATGTTGTGAAGGATCCGGATGCCGAATTGCCAGGTGGCTCCTTGGCTCCCCTGTGATGCTCCGAGCAACATGGAAGTCGGCAATGGTCCCGGAAGACTATACAGGGGTGCCATCCATTTCCACCATGTGATGAGTGAGTGTAGGGAGTGTAGGCTTCACACATTGATCACCTAAAAGATCATCATGTGGTTTTCTCCAGAAAGGTGTCACGTTACAGAAACCATATATCATGCAATCGTATACCGCAAGAAGCGGACCAAGAACATTGGAGCAAATGATGGCGTGCAAAAGCCCAGCTTTGTTTTTTGTGAAGGCCCCTGAGGAGCTGAGCGTAAGTGGAATCAGCGGCGGTTCCGGATGGATGGTTTCTTTTTTTTCAATGTTCTGATGGCTGTACCGTATCCACTCAAAACTGTTAGCTCAAACGGTTCTACTTTCATACGGTTCTTATCGTGATCCAGGATGTTCGAGCCATCCCAGTCCACCAATTTCAGTGCTTGGACATAACAGTTGAGCCGGTGCTTGAACCCCACCGGAACCTGGAAACAACACGGGACTGGCACGTGGCGACGTGGGTCCGCCCAACATCATGTGTTATGTGAGGCAGGTTCGGGAACGCGGAATCGTTGCTGTCGAACGTGCCGGAACACCATCACCTCCACTCCCCAATACCTGGAACTTCCTCAGAGATATAGTATATAATATCAGCGCCTTCTGCAATCCATTCGGTCATCAGATTCTCAACTTGAGGTCCATGATGAGGCAGATCCTTGCATTGGTGCCTGACCTCTTCTTCGCTTGCTTGGAGGTCGCTTGGATCGCTTCGGAGCTTCTGGCACGCTTCGGAGCTTCTCCGGAGGTTCCGAAACAAAAAAACAGAAACCACAAAGAAGGCGTGATGGATGTCGGTGGCTCAATTGGAAAGGCCTTTGCACTGCTGGAGGCATCGTTGAACCGCTTCACGGCGTTGCCACACCTTGAGCAGTTATACTGCAACTGCAGCAGAAACACTTACCGGGCCCAGGCTCCCCTCAGATCGATCCGACTGAGCCGCCGTGGTTCCCGGCGCGGTTCAGGCGGCGCTGGACATCATCACCGGCTTCGGCTGGATCATCACCGCTGCACGCCTCAGCCGCTGTGGCAAAGACCCGAAGAAGTCCGTCGGTTTCGGGGGGGCTCTGCGTGGAGTGGTGCGATGATCCGGTGAAGGGAACATATTCTATCTAGATCGATATACATATAACCAAGACACAGACCCCATGGCCACGGATTTGGGATTTGCGGATCTTCAAAGAAGATGTCCCACGGTGGCGGTGTTCGCCCAGTTTGGCACACAGATCCTGGTTGAGTGCAGCTCCGACAGGTTACAAGCTGGCCAAGTTCGCGCGGAGGAAATGGCGAGCAGCTTGGAGGTAAGCGGAGATCGTGGAGGTAGTGAGCGGAGACCCCAGCATTGTTCAACAAGACCTAGTGGAATATAGACAGAGAGGTGGAACCGCCCTTGATAGCCCCGAATATGGCCCATGCATCCCATATGTACCACTACAGAGTCAGGTGACTCAACCTCTCTTGGGAAGGCCAGAAGGTGATTTTGAGCAGCGCCCCTTTTGTGGTGATTGTGCGAAGAACCTGAGGAATGGAAAGACTCCAAGAAGCAACAGCTGTGCGGCCGCTTGGCAGAAGCGGACAGGTGCGAAAATAGACGTTTGAACATTGAACATGTTTGAGTCTGAGCAGTCGTTGACGCCTGAAGGGGTAAGCTAGGGTTACAAAGGGGCTCCCAGCTTGTTTCATACAAAGGAGAGGTGAGAAACGTCTCAGAATCGAAGTCATTCCGCCACGAATTGTGCGCCACATGCATGCACAGCCAGAGAACGAGTGGTTTAAGACCAGGGGGGCGGGTGACCAAGAAGATATGTATACTTATGGACTGGGTCACATGGTGGGGTCTCCTTGCTTTAAGGCCTTCCAGTTTGATCATCGGAAGTTAGCTGTGCATTAGCCCCTCACAATATGATGGTGCAGACGCTGGTGCAACGTACAAACAAACATCCAAATCAAGGCTCCTTGAGTTCGTCGGAGGGGCTTCATTCACCGGGTAAAGCGGCTTCAGCGGAACCGGCCACCGATGTGGTTTCATCCTTTTAGGGGAGTCCCACCGTCACACACGGTGCGGCGTCTTACGGAGATGTCGTAGGACGAAGCAGGAGCAGGTCCATCGAACGAGACGAAGCCCATGGGCTTCGCCGATCCCATGGGATCGGCTACAATATATTATAGGATCAGTGGAGACATGTCATATACCACTCCGATCCATGCAGACACTCCATGGATCCATGTGTGGCATATTGATACCTATCACAACCACCCCCATGCAGCCAATGCATGTAGTATACTCCATAGATGGAATCCCTTCTAGCCTTTGGACACCGATACCAGCGAGCTATATAGTGGTTACCAGCGATCCACTGAAGGGTTGATTGACATCCCTCAAAGTCAGGTCTTATACCACCCAGTGAACCTATTCCAAGGACCGACTGTTGGAGGAACACTTTCCCAAAGGAACAAATTTAAGGTAATCGAAAGACTGTTTCTGACCTCCAATGCTTGAAGAATCAACAGTTGATAATGTTGTTGATGTGGTGGCACAATCAATATCAATCACCTTTCAAAAAGCCTCATATGTTCTAAGTGTTTTGGTTTCCTAACATTGTTCAGCGTCATTTACAGGTCCTATTGGCCTGGTCTGATTGTACGGGTTACAGTCCTACAGTCCCGCGTGCTGTGCCAGGGAAGGAGCCTCAGCTAGATTGCTGCGTGAATAACGTGATGTCCTGGTACGATCAGCAGGCAGCTGACTGGGAAGTGACTTCTAGAAGACGCTGTAGATTCACTGTAAATCCATCTCATTCATCCGATGAGATCTCCCTTTTGAGCCCTTTTGTGTGTATGATTAGCCAAACAAAATACTGTACCGGTTGTAGTAGCTGTAGCTTCATGGAACAAGTCGTCTCTCCCTGCAGTTTCTGTCACCCTTTGCCCTGGACCGCTGGCCTCCTCGCCTCCTTCTGCAGGTGAAGGCCCAGCGTGTCACGGAGGCCGAGTTTCGCGCCGACACGCAGTCCTTCCTGGCCAAGGCACCGGTGCCCGAGGGGTTTTAGAGGTTGGATGGGTGGAAAGGGGTGGAACCACACAGAAGAGAAACGGAAAAAACAAGTTGGGCGGTAGATGTGGGTGAACTGGTGAAGATTTGTTGCAACATGCAGCATCTAAGATGGTTTGTTGAGGATCAGGTGCCATGATGTATAGGAGTAATTATTAATCAGTCATGGATTTTCATGGATCATCCGCCTACCCTCCCCGACGTTCATCAAGGTATTAGCCATCCAGCATGGAAAGAGTACCTTTCCAAGAGTCTAACACCCCCAGCTCAATCATTGCTTGGGAAACACCATGAAATCAATGGTGCTTGGAATCCTGTATTTGTTAAGCCTCAGGGCCTCGCCCCAGAAGGTTTGGAAGCTTTGTTTGGCAGCTTACTTGATCCTGTATTACATTGAATCAGTGATGCTCTCACCCGAGCCCGACGAAGGATCCAGAAGGTGCTTGTCCCCAACAAGCTAAGAACTGGAACACTGTCATTGGAACATCCTGCGGTGTTTGGACGCACACGGCGCTTTCCAGCCAGGCCCAGCGATATCCGGATCAATGCACGCCTTGGGTCGTGTGGAGTCCTAGACTCTCGCGGCCACGATGCGCGGTTTCTTTGTGGCGGGCGGCTTTTTTGGGCGAACTGCAGTGTTTTGGAAGTTGGGAGGTGGTGGCCGGCAGAACTTCGGACAGTTCGCGAGTGAGTGTGGGAAGTTGGGAAGTGTTTTTATTTTTTGTTGGGGGGAGGGACATGACAGGTGTTTGCAAGTCCAGAAAGCCAAAGTGATCTTGAAAAAGGTTTCGTGTATAAAGGCAGCCTACCCTGGCTTCACCATGTTTCAATATATTCGTGACACCCACTGGCTGACATCAACTTTTCGGGTCGGCAGGGTGTACAACTTGGATCGGCAGGGCGTCAAAAAGCAACATGGTTTTAATCACGGTTCTAACAGCAGGGTGCACACCTACTGAACTCGGTCGGGTGCAGCAGACCTATGTTTTCTTGAGTTGCGCCGGTGCACTCATAGCCAGACATCGATCGGACGGTTTGATGACTTGCTTTTGCACGATTTTCCGCGCAAGTATGGATTCCATGACAAATGGTCACTATATAGAGGCAACCCAATGCAGCTGCCGAGGAGTGATGCTGTATGCCAGTATGTTTCACAGTGGCATTAACACCGAGTCCACGATCATAAAGTAGATTCAGCAGATAGAACCTCGCACCATCGAATGGAGATCCACCACTAGTATGTGACCGTTGGGGATCATTGAGGTGATTTTGATGTTGAATATAGCACTATACTAATAGTATAGTTATATATAGACGGATATCGAATAAGATGAACCTTCCATTTCCATGGATTCTGTTCAGGTGTTTTCAGGGTCCTACCGGACACCCAGCATCTTCCCGTTCGGATTCTTTGCGGATCTTCCTCGGATGGCCTGCAGAGGTGACGATGTTTTCCGACGCCACGGACAACGAGACCTTGAAACCTGGATGTCGAAACCGGTGCGGCGGCTTCGAACAGGGCTGGGTTCGCCCCACATGCCCACAGAAAGAGGAAGCCCGAACCTCTGGTAAGAAGAGGCAGAAAGTCCGGTACTTGTAGAGACAGAGTCTTACTGGGAATAAAAGCGGAATTCCATTCAGTCCCGGACCATCCATTTGTCACACCTTCGTGTGGCAAATGCTCAGAGGTTGCTCATGGAGTGCATGAAGGCCACCATGAAGGCCACGAGCATGTCGAGCTGGGACTCACTAACATGAAAGTGGAAGGCAGTCTTCCAAGGGACAATTTTCCACTTCCATGTGATGTGTTCGTCAGAGTGTACATCAATGACAGAGAGATGAGTTCGGGGAACTGGGTACTCCGGCAGCTTTGTTCTGTATGTGCTCTGCAGTCCAGGCGTCGCTGCGCACCTGTGCACCACCGAACGGAGATGGGACGGCACGAGTCATGGGACGCCCGCCCGGTGCAACGGGAGAACAGGGTGCTCAGCTGCCTGGGGCAGCTACTGGCACCGGGCTTTGACTGCTAAGTGGGGCACACGCCAAAGATGCAGCTTCCTGGGTGTTTTCATGCCATTGGAGGCATACAAAACATAAACATTGAAACCCTCACACTGATTGATCACTTGAAACCCTCGATTTTGAGTGGTCTCCACCTTTCTCCACCGGTCTCGAAAAACCAACGGCACTCGCGGCGCGCCGGTCTCAGGAAGGTTCTGATCGCGCGTGAAGCGGAAGCGACGCCGCCCAGCATTTACACGACACCAGCCAGGCGAGAGACATGCGCGTGGCGCGTGTCGCGAGTGAAGTCGATGGGAGGGGGGAATGAAGCCGAGTTGGGGGGGCGACGATTGGCAGAGGTTAGGGGGGGAACCAGCAAGCAGCCATGAACATGCCTTCTCCACTTTGATGCAGCGAAGCCCCTCTCCAGCCTCTCCATACCCTCCATGTATGGAACATTTGCCTAATACAGGAACCATGGACATCCATGGACCTCACCAATGCAGTTAAGTATTTCAGTCCCAGACAGGTCGTGTTTGGGATATCGTTTCCACCCACCACCAAACACACACCGTCCAAGTCTTGTCATGGCTTTCTGGAAACCGAACCCAGCCCAGACCATGGATGGGATAGTTATACATGTACCCCAGTATATATCCCAATTCTGACCAATCCATGTCTATAGCGAACTATTCCAGTCCCCTTCGTTTGGCTCTACGCAGTGACAGCCTCCGCGATGCCAGGCTCTACGGCCTTTTCGGCAAGGGCTTCCTGAGGCGGAAATTCCCCGTGCGCCTGGTCGTGTCCCGCTCCAGTACCGCGGCCCAAAGTCGGGGTAGAAGAGACCTGGGGAGGCAGAGCACTAGGGGAGACGAGACCTGACATGGGGTGAAGGAGGTATATATCTTCACTTCGGGTGTGAGAAGTCGTGTTCTTTTGTTGTCGGTTTGTCATGTGATTTTGCCTCCGGCTTTTGTTTGGATGGTTTGAACTAAGCTTTTGGATGCGTTTGGTTGAAGTAAAGGTGCTCCATACCATTCCACACACTGTGGTGATCCATCATGCATGTTTTTTGGTACTGTAGTTATGTTGTTTGCAAATTTTGTCTCATCTCCAGCGTTCATGGTTTTGCCTCTTGAGCTAGTTTGTTCTGAGTCTCCTTTACAAGAGGTCGGACGAAGCTGAGACAGCAATGCCTGTTGTGAACAGACTGGCTCATTCTCCAGCAGTCCATGTATCATGGGACTGGAACATGTACATTTGACCCCTCAAAACATCTCAAAAACAACCCCAAGGCCGGGGCTGTGCGGTTCTTCAAAGTGACCGAACTTGGCATCCCAGTCACCAAAAGGTCACAGGTCAGGGCCTGTTGTTTGACACAGGTCAGTGGATGGGTCAGTCACGAACTGAAGAAGCAACAAACATTGCCCTAGGATTCCAACATATTCCAACCACCAATTGCTTTAATAGCCCTTACCGAACCACAATTGGTTTAACGGATTTTACAACACAGCCATGTCTTTCCCATTTTCTTCATGGTGGAACGGAAGCCTGGGGAGTGCGGCAAAACTAATTCGTGGGGGAGTCAAAACTAATTCGTGGGGGAGTCCTTCGACCGTTTTCGAGGCTTCCTGGTGGAATTCCCCAAGAAGAAGCGCCAGAAGCGGCAGCGGGTCCTCCGCTTCAACGCGCTGTGTGAGGCGCACGGGAAGAGATCGACATGGAACCGGGCTTGGCATGGACCAGACTGGAGGGCGTGGTTTTGAGGTTGCCTGGGTCTCTTCCAGGGTGGCCTTTGCAGTGAGATTGCTTTTCTACGGTGTTATGGCACCAGTTTCGTAAACCTGAACATTGGCGGAATGGACATGAATGGACCAGAAATGTCAACCAGTTGTGGGCAAATCGATGAACTTGTTGCTCCCGATCCTGCAGGGAATCAGCAAGAAGGCCCATTCCCTTTCAGGACAACCACCAGCGACCAATGAATCCAAGAGTGCATGATGCAAGCTGAGACTGACACTCGACCTGACACTCGATGGTATGACATGGCCGTGAAGCCAAGGCGAGACTCGCTCAGTACACGACGCAAGCCCCGTCTCCCACGCTCATGGATGGTCATGAGATGGCCAATGCCACAGAGAGAATCCATGGGACTGCAACCAGATGGTTTTGGATATGTGTTGAGGGTCCATGTAGGTGAATATTCCAGTTCCATGGCTTGTCGGGAACACGAGCTGATTTGTTGTGATTTGAGAATGCATAGGTTCCCTGTTCAGGTAGTCGAATGGTTTAGCCATGTTTAGCCTCAGACAAGCTGGCATAGCTTTGAGATCCAAAGTGTCACTCTAGAATGATTACTCCATCTCACTCCCAAACCATCCATTTGACTGGATTAGTTACTTTAGGTTTATTCGGTGTATTTGTCATCGTACTGTATGGGGTAGAATGTATGTAACCATTCCAGTCCCATGGAGGATTTGGCACTGTACCGCCATTTGTTCAGCCATCCTGTACGCCATTTGTTCAGCCATAGTCGTTCATTTGCCGTGCTGAAAACTGTCAGGATTTTATGCCCAGTGCAAGCGGCCAGCGAGACACCAAAGGACCTGCTTGTCCTGTCCGACCTGTTGTGTGTCGAGCCGATGATTGTTTAAGCCCAAAGTCAGGGGACACATTTCAAGGTGTTTATATAATATGGTCCTTATATGTTGCATATAATGTTCATATATCGATTATTATAGCAATTCTCTACACCATGGATTGCGTCAATTAGGTGAATCGGCATTGGGTGTTCGACATCCTTCGAAGGTCGGGATACAGTAGGTGGTGGGAACCTGTTTGCCATATTTTGAGTGGTCGGTGTTCTGTCACCTCATGTCACCTCCCTTTTGTTTGGTTCTAGGGGCACGGTCTGACCAACCTGTGGGTTTGACCATGGAGACAAAACCCTATCTATCTATCTAGATGCACTCATGTGGTGGGACAACAATCACCCTGCTAAAGATGATTTGGCACCCTGCCGGCTGTTGCTGGAATCTTTATCACAATAACGATCAATCATATATATATATATAAATATATATATATATGTGTTGCTTTGATTGGACCTTCTGCTTCGACTTGCGGGATGAGCTTGATGATGGAATTGGTACCCTCCAAATTTTGAATAACCAAAGATTGCAAGAAGGTAAAAGCTCATTACCAATTCCCCGAGGAGAAACCCCTTGAGAGCAGACATTGGGAAGGATGCATTAAACCAGGACTGCCGTGGACCGCCTGAGGACTGCGCGTGCTGAAGACGAAGAAGAAGGTCCCCATGGGAGTGGCCCCTCGACAGCAATCTTGGCCGGAAAACAGAAACGAACCGTTCTTTTAGGTGACTCTCCTTTTCGATGGTCTTGTCTTCGGGGGTGGGAATAAGGCTTTAAAAGGAGCCCCAGATGGAATCAAAACACATAAAACATGGGTGCAGGCACTTTTAATGATGATGTGGCGCTGTGCTTAACATTGAACATTCATTCAGGTGGTCATCTAACTCGGCTTGTGAACACGCGGCTTATACTACCCTGATAAGGACCGGTCCTTGAAAAGCGAAGCTGGACAACCAACACACGCCTCAGCAGATGAGACCAACATTTGTCAATATATTTTTTTCTACTTTGACATATTGACCAACCTTCTAATGAGGCGAAACCACCAATTAGAGACAAAGGCGAAACCACCTTCTACCTTGAACCACCTCGAATATGAAATATGAAGGTTTGAACCACCGGTCTAATTTCTACTTTGAAGGTTTCTGTTCGATCCACCCAACCCACCGAGATTTCTGATCGAACCTTGCAGTCACAGTGTGAAGCAGTCTGGAAGCCTTTTTTGGTCGTGTGGGGTAGGCCAGGGCACCCAGACAGGATGGTCCTGGTTGAAACATGTTTCTTGCTGGGATGGGCCATCCACCCTGATCGAACCTGTCTTCTCTTCACCATCCACCCTCGACCGAAAAAGCTCGGGGGAGGCCACGAGCTGATAGGCCCGAATGCGCCAGGTGCTTGATAGGAGAAGGGCACTCTTCCTGATAGGACTGGGTTCAGAGGAGATGGCACAATCCCCAAGTTTGGTGGTTTACGGTAGTAGATGGTAGTAGTGGACCTCGATCTGTTCCAGACATCCAACTACGTGGTGGGGTGACATGTCTCACCTCAACGGTCAGAAGGGAACTGATCCACGCGCGGTTTCTGCGGCACATGCCCAAGGTCTTCCGCTTTGGCAAGGGCGTCCTGGGTCAAAGGACCTTCGACCTCGATGGGTCGAATCCCTGCGCCGTGGCACACGCCGCCGTGGTCGCAAGCAGAGTGCAAGCCATTCACTTCAGTTTACCCCTATATGGCCCTGTGGTAGTGGTGGACTATGGCCCAAATTCCAGGGTTGGGTATACTGATGTTTTCCTCACGTGAGAACAATTCATTACTCAATCCGAGCAGCAATGAGTCAATCTCTGGAAGGGATGGGACGCAGCAGCGCCATGCGCCGCCCCTTTGGTTCACCCCACCGTCGTGCTTGATCTCGTCCCGGCGCAGGGACCTCGTACGGTCTGCCGTGACCGTGTTCGCAGTCGGTGTGCCAGGGAGATGGAGGTGGCAGGTTCAGGTCTGAGCCAGGGCAGCAGTTCGGGATGGGCTGAGATGCGGTGAGCTTTTGAGATCATGTTGTTCCAGGCCCTTTTGGGGCGCGCGCTGTGTAGACTGTTGGGCGCTCCGATTCACTAGCTCATGCAGTCACCCTGGACTAGATGACTAGCTCATGCAGACTGGACGAGGCTTTCAGCACCCCGGGAGTTGGAGTGATTCGTCCGTCACCGAGGCCATGTGCCGTGCTGCTTGCTATCGCCCTGAGAAGTGTGACGACTACATCGACCCCGAGGGCTATATAGGGCTGGAACCTTTGGTTGAGATGGATGTGACTATAGAAAACGTGGTAGAAACGATGGGATCCGGAGTACAGAGGATATACATTCATGCATGCATTCGATTCTATTTGTTTCAAGCTGCTGTAGACCATTCATGTATCCTGGTTTTGAGGGTCACAAGAATCGGGCCCAGTATCATGCCACATTTGAAGAAGGTAGATAGCTTTTAGACGGACCTTTGACATCCATTGGGATTCTTCCTCCCTTTGACATGATTCTGGCAGCAAACAGACTGAGTCAGACATGACAGAGACATGACAGACATGACAGCCAGTCACGTTTGACTCTTCAATTCGCTGTGTCACATTGACATGCCAACTCTACACACAAAGCTGTCGGGTTGCCCTGTTTGTGCTTCCTCGCCCAGTTCCTCGCGCGGCGGGGATGTTTGTGGAAGAAGTCCTTGCAGTTTCTCAATGTTTCTTCGTATGGCCAGTGTCGGTCAAGTGTCGGGAGCTTTGCAAGTGCACCTGTGGTGTCGATTCCACCTCGCGCCCAGGACAGCCATGCAGCACGGTCAAACGAGAAGAACTTGCTGCCGCTGTGTGCGCCGGTGGCGGGCCTGGCACGTGCCAATGGGGTGAAGGACACGGATGGTGTGGTGGTGCGGGGCACGGGTGACAATGAGGATGGTTCTCATTTTGCTGGACAGCTGGGATGCCATCACTGATGTGTCCGACACCTCCGAATCAAATATAAGTATAGTATTGAAAATTGATTCCAAATGATACCGGAAAGACTTGCGAGCCGAAAGCAAAGCTGGCCCGTTGCTGGCCTTCTCCACTTGCGGCCCAGGGGGATGGTTCCCTGCGGGGAAAATGGGTGGGCAAGATGTCGATTCTGAGATGACTAGCTGTCCTTTTCACAGAAAGGCACGGACATGTACAATAGAGACGTTGGAGTGGCGAAGAAGAACGGCCAGTGAGAGAGCGCTCGCATACTCAATGAGCTATTGAGAGAAATTTTTGTTGAGCGAGATGTTTCTCGTTTTGTGTCGACATGCAACGTCTTCAGAGGGTGGGAGAACTGTGCCATATTCGATTTTGTCGCAATGGATCTGGATCAGGGGGGGGCTGCGATACCTTTATCCACCAGGAGAGCGCCGTGAAGAAAGAGACGCAGCTGGGGCCCACGGCCTTGCGGCCCTTTGTGTGGCAACACATGTTCAAAGAAGGCAAGGCCCAGGTGGGGATTCCTCCGCGGTCGGGGAGCCGGTGGGCAGGGAGTCCGTCCGGAAAGCCCGGGTAAGAAGCATCTCCACGCAGTTTCGATGGGGGTGGTGTTGTTCTCCAGTTACGGAGACGTCGCATCGTATCGGTCGAACGGAACGGAAGCACGGTCCAGGTCGGACCGGAAGGACCGGGAGGTCCTGTGACGTCCATGGATCGGTTGACCACTTTGAGTGTAGAAAACGAGAAGAGACACCAGATGGCACCAAAACACCAGTGTTACTTTTTTTTCTTTGTGTACGAAGTGATTCACAGTCTAATGTTTTTGAGTTGCTTTATAAAAGTTATCACTGATCACCCCTGCCATCTCCTGCATATAGAGTAGGTATAGGTGCGACCTGCAGTCATCATCATTTGCCACTTCTTGCGGTTGAGGAAAAAGCCCTGCATCATATGGGAGAAGGAATCCCGAGTTTGTTTGGAGCGTTGAAGGGTCAGTCACGGGCGGCGCTGGATGGCAAGAACAACGGACGCTTGTCTTTTCCTTCGATTAGTATGTGTGTTTCCATTGCAGAGAATTACTGCTGTAGCGTTCGTAGATGCTTTTCAATCTCATAAATATGATCCTCATTAATCTTCCATTTATTGCAACATGTCAGACTTGAGGCCTTAGGTGCCTGGGTTGGAGTCCTTTCTTCCGGCTTCAGGCCATGTCCCGCACGGAAGCCTTGGCCTATGCGGCGTCCGTGTGTGACCAGTTGCTGGGACCCGGCGGAGCGGAAATGGAGGTCGACCCCCCAAAAAGGCCCTACTATAGTAGGCCCTTTTTTGTGGGGTACCCCCAGGGTTGGGTGTCCCCGTTTGATCACTATGGGGAGCACGACCCTCACCTGAAATTCGCACGGGGATCTTTTGGGTGTTCTTGAGACCCTTGCCCCTGTGGTATGCTTGATGAGGTCGTTGCATGCCACCGAACCTCAACCCCCTGGGAGAGGATACCCCTAGGAGGGGGTCTACGCACTACAAGTGTCACTAAGCTTTCAGAAAGAGGAAATTTGGGGGATGTAACTACACCAGCACTTACTTGGGAGAAGTAGTGCATGCTTGCCTTGCACTTGATTGTCATAGAAACCACTTGTTCTCAGTGACCTTCAGAATAACATCATGATATTTGATGGTGCTTGGCCAGCTGACGTGGATTGGGATCCATCTTAGAAACGAATGACAAGGGATGCGCATTGTCTCTCAAACAACTGTGTTTATAAACATGAACTTGTTTAAGCACAAATTGGTGTGAAAGTGTTTTAGACTTATAGACGTGTTAAAGAAGAAGAAACACACCTGGCATTACAACTTTGCACAGTATGTTCAACTGTTTACCCTAGAATATATGTATATATATTAATTATCAACAACGGCTTGGTTCAATGACTGACAGGCTTAAGCCGCCGCCTAAGAATGTTTGGGGCTTCGGTATGGTGTCATCCTCAAGAGCATTGCGGTTTTCAGAGTGGCCTTCGCCTAGCCGGCCCAGGCATGTGATTCCCTTTTGGCATCTTGGGCTGCAGACATGGTCTCAGATAAAGAAATTGCTTCCGGGCTGCCACCACCCCAGATCCGTCCAAGAAACCGCTTCCTTTGTTGTTTTGGAGAGCTGCAAAGCTGAGAGGGAGATTTTTGGAGTGTTCAAGAGCATCACTGAGGTTGCCATGGTTATTACCTGGAGTTTGAGGTCTTAGTTCACAAGAAGATCGTGTGACGGATGGCGCAAATATGTCAAAAGCTTCCGATGTAGTGGGAGGAAGCACGGGAATCGTGCCAGAATGTACTGTAATACCCAGACACGCCATGTGTGCCATGTGCCTACACTGACCCCCCAAACAACCCCAATGTAGGCATATGGCATACATGGAGTGTCTGGGATAGGTGCCAAGTTGATTCCTCAACTCTTTGGGCTGCTCAAATTCCTTGTTCCCCTTTGCCCTTTATCAAGCAATGATAAGTATCCAGGTTTGGGCCTCCTTGCCTTTATCGACAGGGAGGCCCTCCACCAAACCATGGGTGTGATGGTGAAGATCCCTTTAGCATCTTTTAAGTCTCCTGGGAGGGGCGAAGCTCAGCTTCAAAAGGCCCGGCGGGAGAAGAATCCACGTCTTCTTTGTTTCAAAACAAATTGGTGTGAGATGCTGTGAGGGTCAAAACCCGAGCTACGAGAGTCCAATGAACCTTTGAGTATACGGGAAACTGAAGGGTCGGGGTTGGCATGCGCCATGGCACGGACCCGCCATCTCACACGAAGGCGGCAAACTGAGCAACCTGAGGTCTTGTGGGAGCGAAGAATGTGGCTTGGAATGGTCTTGCGGCCGAGTAGTAGGCCTCAACATTTGGTCGGTTGGTGTTCAGGTGCTTCACAGATCCTGGTCGTCTTACGCCCTGGAAGAGACCGACATGGAACCTGAAAACCACGCCCGGTTTGTATAGTCTTCCCAAGGTCCATGTTCAGGTTCCATGTGCGTCTCTTCCAGGCAATAATGGGCTGAGTCGTAGCATGTCATAGCACAAATCCAGCGCATCAACTCAGCATACAGCTTTTGCACACTTTTGCAAGGTGGTCTTGTTTTGTGGTTTGGGGTTGGTTTGTTGATACTTCTTGAGTAGTTTGGCGGTTTCCGGTCGGACGGGGGTTCGTAGATCGGAGCTGACTGAGCTGACGGTGGTGCCCAGATGTGCCAAAAGATGGTCGAAAGATTTCAGGTGGCCCTTTTGTACTTTAACTTTCAACAAGGGCGCCCATGAAAATCGTGAAAAGCAAAGATCAAGATGCATTCCTCTCATTTCCTTTCTACACTTCCAGAATTCAGCGGAGGGGGAGAGACACAGAAAAGACTTATTACAGCTCAGTTTGGTGTGAGCTCGGATCACCACGTTTCTGCTCTGCTGGCAGCTTGGATCATCTAATTGACACCCTTCACTCCACTCGGTCCGCACATTCATCGGCGTTGCCTTGGTCGAATCGATCGCTCCAACGAATCACATTCGGAACAACGGTCAGGTTCGACAGGGTGGTTTGACTCGACCAGGGCCGGTCAGGTTGGAGCAACTCGATCTACTATGGCATGTGCATTGGTCGGATCGAAGCGTCCGATGCATGCGACGAAGCAACGTGACATTCACCCAGCAAGACCCGTTCTTTGCGAACGCCTCGGTCCCAGGGTCCGGCCCCCCCCGTCTTTGGAGACCCTTCCGTTTACCACTCTGAAAAGGAGTTCTCCTTTTTTAGGCCTTATTCATGTTTATACAGACATGTTTGTACAATATTAATTGAATATATTCACCCAGAACCCATTTGACCTTTGTTTTGATATGAGCAGACATACCTACGTTGGGGTGGTATTGGGGGTCAATTTAGGCGTATGCATTTCATATTAATTACATAGACGTGTCATGGAGAAAGCCAAAGGTTCTGATTACAAACCTCCAAGCCGAACAGGTGTCTTCAGCAGTCCCTTTCTCCGTTGTTCGGGATCGTTTGCTTTCCTCAAACCCATCCGTTTCACCGGTTCCCTGTACCAAGCGGGAGTGGAAAGCAAAGGACCCCCCAGGCATTTCGCGGCCCACTCAGACACTGTCCAGCCTGGCCGAGGTTCCCTGTGTCAAGGGGTGGCCTCCTTCTATTTTTCTTCGCAGAACCCTGACGACTGGTGTCGGTCCTTCAAGTTGCCGGACAGCGAGTGGCTAGGCCGACACGAGCGATTTTGGGAGTGGAGTGCGCAAGAAGCACATCCGATAAGTTGAGCTGTTTAAACAAGGACTCAGGAGTGAGTGAAGGGAAATGATTTGGGACATGGGGGTTGATGTGAGTAGCGCCGAGACTTTTCTTCATCATTTGATAACTGGCCTCTTACCACACCCCTACCCCAGCTGAGAGCCATCCCAGGACCGAAGACCTATGCTTTGCCCTCCCATCTCGTAGGTTACAAGGACCCTTGGGCCTTAAAGGGCTTCTCTCTCTCTCTCTCTCAAGCTGGGGTCCTCTCCCAGGAACGTCTCCGAGTCCTACGCGCGCGATTTGGGCCGCCACTTCAAGTGCAACTACTTGGCAGGCGACGATGTGTTGGTCACCTTCGAGGTCGCACCGCCGTCCGTCGTGGTCCCGGTGCGACCTCCTCGTGGACCGACCTTGGTGCAGACCGACCTCGGTCGTGGGTGCGGACCTCGACATGGCGTCCGACCTCGGTTTCAGTCGGTGATCGCGAGGTTTTTCGCCCAGGGGGGCGGAGTGAAGACATGTGAAGACTAAGAGTAGGTTGGCAGGGTGGCATGGGCATGGGGCAGGCAAATCACTCTGCTTGGATGTTGTATTTATATATATATATATCACTTTTCGGGGAAGAAAGAGACCTGCCACTGAGTTGAACATTGTCTTATTTTGGAACTGTTACCTCATACCTCACAGGACAAGTAGCAACAACGTCCTGTGTTTAATCTAATTTAATCTCATTGATGTTTTCCCATTGATATTTCGCGGTTCCTCCTTCCACCACACCACGCATTCCACATTCCACCCCTTGTTTTTTTCTTTCTCGACCGTGCGCAGCCGGGACGACCGTGCGCATGCAGGATACCTCAGCAGCACGGATGACCAGCGGCGGCTGTCGGGACGGGAGTCCACCATGCAGGAGGTGTGCAATGCACGGACCATGTGCTCGGCTCCGCGGCGTGAAACAACCGAGCGGGGAGCGGGTCAACCTACGGATCCAGGGAGGTCGTTTTCAACCGTCCCCATCGCTTTTGGTGAACGGAATGGACTATCTGGCACGGTCCAGCCTCTGGGTGAGTGAGAGAAACGGGCTCTGGGTGCCATGACCGTCGGTCGTTCAAGCACTTCACTGATCTAGAGGTTGAGAGAGACAGGCCTGGGAGACGGGATTGGCATCCCCAGCAAGTTCACCACCGCATCGCAATGAAAGCATGTGTTTTTTCTCAGAATTCTCAGGTCAGGTGGTGCCTGATGTTGTTCTCCAAAAGTAGTGATTGAATTCATTGCTGCCCTAGCCATCATTGGAACCTCACCTCACTGAAGGATTTAGACTCCAACCAAACATTTACCTTTGAGGGTGGCAGGGTGTTTGGGGTCCAGTGACATCCAACATGTATTGTTATCATCATCATCAAACATCATCAAACATCATCAGACCATTTTGGAGAGGCAGACGACATGCCACTTACAACTGGGATTTGTGCAAGCCTGCCCTTTGGATGTCTTCAAGATTGGTGGCGTTGTGACTCCGGTGACCGAATGTTGTCAGAGCGCCAAAGTTGTTGATGGTATTGCAGGAAGACATGCAGTGGTTGGGCGGTTTAAAATGAGTCTGGATGCTTTGTTTTGAGAGCTCTTTGTGAACGTTTCAAGGGTGCATTTGCTGCTGCTACTCTCGATTGCCATGGAATGAAACCCAGAAAGAAGCACCTAGGACCTATGAGAAAACAACACATGCACTCCTTCAAATGTGGAGCGAAAAACCCGTTGGTTTTTGGCTTTCAGAACAGGAATGATCCTCTTCGGGCCATGCTATCCACACAACCAACTGCACATTGCAGGGAGTGTACATACATTTGATCATATTTCTGTGACCAATGGTAGGTTAAAATGGACACCCGCCCATAACCTTCTTGTATCCAAAGGGTTGGCTCAAATGGATGCACCCCCATGACACCTCTGGTTGGTCTTTTCGGCGACTGTCGGCTCATCGCGCCCATCCCCACGGAGTCAGTCGCGTCACGTCACCCAGGAGCAGACCAACTTGCTGCCCCAGCTGGACATGCGCCCGGGCCTTCAGAAAGGCACCGCTTGGGCGGTCAGCGTGTCCCACTGCGTCGGTCGCAGCGGTGTCGGAGCCGATCACAAAGGATCTCTCTACTGAGTGAGTTTGTGACCTGTTGAGGGCACTTGCTTGGTTGTTCTTGTTGGTGTTTTTGTTGCTATAAACCTGGAGAGATGCTGCCAACCAGGGCAATTGCACTTGCCGGACCAATCAACTAGGGCCATCTGAGAGGGTTTCCTCTTCGGAGATGCGAAGGACAGGTCAGGTTGTGACACGGATGCCACAATCACAGCTTTCTACGGTGTCAGTCGTTGGCCCGACAGAAATGGCGGACCATGTGAGTTTCTGCGGGCCTCCAAACTCGCAAGGAGATCCAAGCACCGGCAATATCGAAGGTTGTTTGTTTGTGATGTTTTCATTGTACCTGAACCATCCCATGATTCACCAATGGACTATATTCTATCTAATTATTCTACTCTGTGAACCTCCATGGAACACCTATTGGATGATCTATATATGTGCTTATCCTTCCACCAAACCGCTTTTGGTCGATCTTCTCCTGCTTCTTCAGTTCGTGACTACTTTGGAGTCGTTCGCGGCCCGTCAAACAGGCCAAACCTCGTGACCGGAAGAACCTGGATTTCAATTTTGGTCACGAACGGAAGAACCAAGACCATTGTTAGGTAAGTTCACAACAAATATATACATGCATGTGTACATGAATGTGTGTATATATACTGTATATATATATATATGCATATACATCCCTAGGGCTCCAACCGATATCCTCAGGTTCGGTGGCTAGACCCCTGGCACCAACCCCCAACCATCTTCGAAATGGCAGAGGCCAGGAGCCCTAAAGAGGCTAAATATATATGCCGCAGGTGCTGTTGTCCCACGGAGTCTTTTTCGCTCGTCCTTCGAGCGCCTCGCCGGCCTGGCCTCCAGGCACCGATGCCTACGCCGACTCCCAGTGCCGCATGTGCCTGGAGTTCGTGCAGCGCGCGGCGGCGGGCCTGCGGCCGAAGAACTTCTGCAAGGCCATCCCCAGTGCCTCGGGGGCAAAAAGCGCCCAGTGCCCGGGGAGAGGTGAGGGGAAAAGATTCTGTGTGGGCTTGAGGAGTTTGATGATCCAATCTCCTTTGAGGAGTTTGGCTTCGGCGCATTGGGGAGAGGTCGACGTGCGGAGAAGTGTTTACTACGGAGTTTGGGGGCCTGAAAGGCCGCTCAAGATGCGATGGAGACAATAATCCCACACTTTTGAAGTCTTTTGAGCAGATATATACTGTAGATGGATAACAGAGACGGAATGTTCAAACGTTTTGGACACCAGGCATGACGACCCCTGTGATGCTGCAAAAGGACTCCGTTCTCTAATTCCTTACGAGACGCACCAGTCAGTCAAGAACTGCAGATTTTTTCCGAGGATGTGAGATATCTCATTTGAACTATTGCAAATCTCATCCGTTTCTTCACCATGTTCCTACAAGTTTATTAGATCTCATTAGAACTACTGTTTTCGGGAAATGTTGAGATGTTCTACTGTGGGCGGACCGGGATGTCACCGTGGCGGCCAACGTCATACTCGTGTGTTGGAAAGCGAAGTGGTGTCGTGACCGGTGCCTCTTTTCCCCTTGCGTTCATATCCCATCAGCACTCACCCACCAACTCCCATAAGCGCCGTCATCAGCGTTGGTGTCTGAGGAATGTATCAACAGCAGAAGATCTTTTGTGAGGGCACTTTGGAAGAGATGATGGAGGCTCTACCTGCCATCAAGGATGCGCAGGATAGGCCTCTTGCCGCATACATTTTTTCGGGGTTATGCTGCAGTTCTGCCAGCCCCATAGCAGATGTATGATGCAATTTCAGTTGATTTCTGACGGGCAAATTAATACAATAGTGAAATTCTATGGTTGGCAGATCGAACTGCAGCACGGACTTTGCTGCCAGGAATCCGTTTGCAGCAAGCCGTTCGGTCTTCGCAAGCCACTCAGGTGGCGATTACATCGGTGGATCTACAACTGGAAGAGCCCCTTTGGCAGCGTCAGGTTGGGGGCCTTTGAGGTGGACAACTGGTCGGGGTGGTAGTCCTCTCAATTTGCACTTCGAGTCACTCACATGGAAGCGGAAAACCACCTGTTTGTAGAGGAGATGGTCACCCTTTCGGGCCATGCCATCCACATATCCATATTTCATGATGATGATGATGACGACGATAGTAAGCCCACCTTCCACCTTCCATAGTTTCATTATTTTTTCTTTGGAGCCCTTTTTAGCTGTGACCCGCTAGGTGTTCTGTGCATGGAAGTGGCTGTACAAGCAGCCGGCAAACACTTCCAGTGGTGGTTTCATCACATCGGATCAATGAACACAACAAGTTCATCTACGCTCAGAAAGTGCTTCTTCGACAAATGCCCTTGATTCTCCCAGAGCATTCTGACGTAGAGAACACAGACCAGAAAACATACCCACCGGGAGCAGACAACACATATATATATATATATGTATGTTTTGTATTATTTTATATTTATGTAATTATTATATGCGTCTTAGACTAAAATCCCACGGCTGAATGTGTCAGAGAAAGCTCGGGTCAAAACATATCGCAAGAAGCAGCACGATGATGATCACCTTTCAGGGTTTGATGGGCTGCACTTATATACACAGTAGCCACACTGGATGTTCTTTCTTAGAAGCTCCAGGTAGGCCTGGATGGGAGGATGGGAAGACTGGTGTCTCCTTGAACTTTGTACACCAAGACACTGATCGTGCCCTAATGGATATCATGCAAAGGAATAGAATTGTGAAGATTTCTGAGAGAAGAGTGGCTCTCATCCCCCCCTGTCCCCGTCAGAAAAGCACTCGCATATATAGATCGTGCCAACTGTCGGGTCTCCTCACTGGATGGCCTGGGTCGTGCTGGGTATAGAACCCTGGTACAGTTGGTCTCTGTATTTTCCGAACATGGTGTCTCCACATCACTTAGAAGGATACAGAAGTGTGCAAGAAGGAATAGCAGTGTAGACCGCCGACGAGCAAGGCCGCAAAGCCACCACCATATCGAGATATGCGAAACCATTTTGGTAAGGGGTTAGTAAATGTCAATAAAGGAGCTCGCACGAGCTGGCTAACACCCTTGCTGTTGGTCCTTTCAACTTTACTTCCCCAAGGCAAGCTCACTGGCAGTGCCTGCGACCGCTACTGCCGTGGTTGGGTCCAGCGAAAGCCTTCCTCACGCGAGACGCTGCAGAATCCTTCGCCGCTCTTGTTGGCCGGCGAAGATACCTTGCCAGCGCCTCCGGGGAAGGTGCGGGAATTGGCCCAGAGGGGAGGAATATAGAAAAGCCCTTCTGTCTCTCTCTATCTATCGATCTATCTATCTATTGTATAATATATATGTATATTTATTTATAGATATATAGCCTCACTCGGGCCTATGTTAGACCGCTGTAAGGGTCCAAAGACCAAGTGACTCACCTTCGTTTCTTCAATGTCTTGGTCATGTGGTGACCGGACACGGCCCACACGGCCATGATATGCCTATACCTTCGATGTTCCGACCCGATCGCGCGGATCGTGTGATGACTCCAGGTGCTCGAGACTTGGCAGAGCGAAGCTGCCAAAGGACTGGCACAGTCGCCGTGGCTGCAGCGCGCTTTGACACTCGGTACTTTCCTTTAAACGCCCCTGGAGGGGCGTCCGAGGGGATTCTGGGCGGAGATGAGGAGACTGGGCAGTTGAAGATCATCGAAACCTGATCGTCCTTGGGTGAGGGTGACCCTCCATGACCCAGACTTCTGGAGCTTGGATGTCAAGATTGTCAAGTGGGAGCTGGGTTTTCGAGCTCAGACCTCCCTTGAACTCCTCGAGCTCTACAACGAGGGTTACCTTGAGTCGGGAGCCGGTGGAGCAACAAGAAACAGGTTTCATCACACATGTGGATCGATTGTGGGAGGCACAGAGAACATGGTCCTGATTGTCCCCCAAACCGAACCCGGTATAACCATGTATAACCCAGTCAAATGAGAGCATGCAGGACTTGTGCATCACGCCTTTGAGCAGAAGATGCTGCAAGTCGTGGCCTCCTTGGATCAATCCAACCTACACTATATCGATACACATTTTACCAAACATGTTTCTCCTTTCCTTGCGTGGTTCTCGGGACCCTCGCTGTCGCTGTGTGAATCCCGGTTTCAACCGCCGGAGGAAGAGCGTCCAAATGCGGCTGCCGCTCAGCGCTGTCTCTGGCCCACAGGCAGTTCATCCGTTTGACACCGCGTGCGTGTCTTCGAGTGTCCCTATAGGGGGGTGCATGCCTGCTGGGTGCGTGGAGGAGTTACTTCAGGCGATCTGAATGCAACTGGTGCAAGAAATGGGGCATGATCTGAAAGAAAGCCTGCCAGACTGGCGCAAAGATGCGTAGCTTTGACATCCACAAGTTACATATGTTTTGTATAATTATGTTTATACTGTTCAACCGAGGCAGGAAAGAGGATTCAGAAGCAGAAAATGACACGTTCCGTGTGCTTGGGGTAAAAGCGTTCCGGGTGTTTGGTAAGAGTTACGCAACAAGGACTCTTGGAGAGGAAATCATGTGGCAAGACCCCATGTCCTTGGGTGGGCGAGGGGCATTTTTCTTGACCATCCCACATGTCGACTTCAGTCTGTGGATGGTCAACATGAAGTCATTGAATAGAGAACCTTGTGTTCAAGAAATCAGAACAACTCCGCGGATCCCATTTCAACAAAGTTCATCCAATTTAATTTGCCATCCTGACTTCCATGGGGTCAAATCGAATTCCATGGTCGTCCTAAACGGATCGACACATCCCCGCTCCCCTTTTTTCAACCCCCTCCGCAAGGTGGTCATGTGGAAGCTTGAGGATCGCATTCAGGCGCCTTTTTTGGGCGAAAAGATCACCTTATTAGACGCTTAAAGATCGGCCCGCTGCGTGCCGTGTCATCATGTTGTTGTTGTTGTTGTTGTTGTTGTTGTTGTTGTTGTTGTTGTTGTTGTTGGCGTTGGCGTTGGTGTTGGTGTTGGTGGTGTTGTCGTTGTTGTTGTTGTTGTTGTTGTTGTTGTTGTTGTTGTCGGTGTTGTTGTTGTGGTTGTTGTTGTTGTTGTTGTCGGTGTTGTTGTTGTTGTTGTTGTTGTTGTTGCTGTTTCGTTCCGGAGAACGGTAACCGTCGCCGCCACAGAAAAGGGGGCATCGTCACACGATGGTACAGAAACTGCAGATGGATGCAGCTCCAGCTCCGATTCATAGATGGCCTCTTACCACTTGGTTGACTGATGGAGGGGATGCTCGGATGCTGTGATACCCCCAAGGCCCCCAAGTGAACAACGAATATGTAGTAAATAGATCGGCATGTGTTTTTTTCAATTATGGAAATCATTGCGCCAATAAGTGTTCAAACATAGCATAGAAGGGTACGGGACCTCAATCTAGGGCATCCAACCAGGGGTTGTCCCGGGTCGGATTTCTCTCTATTACCATTCAGTGGGTATCCTGGCTGCACTACCCTCCACTCAGGAATCTCCCTTTTGGACATCCGTTGCATGGTCCAAGTATGTTGAGAGATTGTCAAGAGGCAGGGGAGAAGCCCCTCACCGCCCTGCACTTCTCACTCAATCCATGGTGGAAGTGGATGTCATGGCCTTGCTTTCGGGGAGACAATGTTTCCTCTACCAGCGAGGGGGCGAGCTCCACTTCCATGGTTGGAGAAAAACAACCCCTAAAATCACCAGAATGGATCGGGAGCCAGATGCTCGTTCGAATGCAGTTGAAAATCAGAATGAAGTGCCGATGGAATTCCACCTTCACATCATATTCCCCTTGATTGTTTAATTGAACGTGTTATGTGATACGGGTTCATAAATGCAATTGATCATCATCCGTTGGAACATGGCTGGTTACCTGGTTTTGTTTCAGCGCATCCTTCGCAGGGCTCCATCAGTGGCTGGGAGGCGCGTGGCGCGCGCGTGGCTGTGGGGTATGAGGACGGTTACCTTATGTGTGAGGTCTTCTGAATGGGAGGTTTTTCCGGAGCTGTTGGTTCAAAAACACGTGAAGTTTGGATGGATGAGTTTAGATGATTCCCTTTGGCGACTGACTGGTGTTGGAAAGTGCTAAGCGGAGCCGAGGTCTCGGTGCTTTTCATCAAGTTTCGGATTGATTGAGCCGGTGATTTTGCTTGTGGTGGGACACTCCGGCTTCCGTGTTTGGCACGTAGACGTGCCCACCTGGAAACGTCTCAGCAAAACACCATCGTTCGAACGAACCACCACTTCGCCCGCATGTCTCCGTTCAACGCCCGCGAGGCCTTGTTGAAAGAGCTGGCCTGGGATGGAAGCTTCACCCAGAAGAGGATTTGGCCCAGGACCAGCCGCTTGGCCGACCCACCAAGAATACCGCCGTCGGGGTGCCGTTTGGGCGTATAAGATGTATATGGGATCGCCTAACAAACTTGATCTATGGTAAATTCTGGAAAGAGGCATGGCCACGACATGAAGGTAATCTTTCTTCTGAAAAAGGAATTTAAAATGGTCGTCTAGGCATATCTAGGCACCTTTCGTGTTGGGCAAACAACTCACCAAGTCAGAGACGTGTTCACCGCGAGATATGCGCCACTTGGGACTTTGGTGCATGCGGGCTTGCGAAAATCAGCAAGAAGGTTGGCATACTACTGTAGCTGATTCTGTGAAGAGAGATGTCGATCCCCGGGAAGCCTTTTTGCTGGCCTGTTTGCCGCTTCCACTGCGAAGATCCCAGTGAGGGCTGGGACCGATCGCTTTGAAGGTGCTTTGTGTGGTGAATCGCTTTTTGCTTGGCCCCTTCCGGGGCTCCGCCACGGATTTGGACAACATCCACCGAAGTGGTCAGAGACGAGAAGTTCCCGGTCCACTGGGATCCTCCCAGGGCCACACACCGAACCGAGGTACACAGGGCCTGATGTCCAAGAAGGTCCGGGAGGCGGTGTTCTTGATGCTCAAGGAAGCCACCTTGCTGAGGCCGCCGTCTCCGTGCTGCGGACGTCTCCGGGCCGGGTGGCGTCAGAAGTGTTGATGGTGGGGTCAAGAGGCGAAGAGCCACTATCAGACACACACCTGTCGCATCCTTTCGCTTTAAGCCTCCTCAATATATATATATATATATTGCAAGTGGGAAGACACTGTTTTGAAGTGGACTTGGCTCACATGACCAATGCTCATCAACTTTCACGAGCATGAAGCATTTGACAGGGTGCTGCCTCTCCATGTGCTGGCACCTGGTCTAACACCTTATTCACAGAAACTGACTGCAGAAAGTGACCACACCTGGTCTAAGACGGCGGCACGTCGGACACTTGTACCAAAAGGAACAACGCGACCGCATCCTACGTTGGACTTCCGATAGCTACCGGAGCGGTGGAGCCGGAGCATTGGATTCGGCAGTCGAAGAATCGCCTTCCCTCGACCTGACCGTTGACCCTGGGTCAATCCACCAAACACAAACCCAAACACTCCATGGGACTGCCATGGGATTGCCTCAAATTGGGCTGGTTTGGGGGGTTTCAATGGGGCGGCAGTCTGCCAGTCCCATGGATGTCGCGTTTGGGTCATAGTATTGGTGGGTCCCACGTGAAACCTGCGACAGGGCGGTCAACAAGAACACGAGCCGTACTAGAGATGTCGAGGCCTGCAACCATACCTAACAATCACCCTAATGCACCAGGAGACCCCGTTTGGGGCTTCTATTGATAGCGCCTTAGATGTTAAGGGGTGTCCATTAACCGGCCCTTGTGGGTCCTGGTGCATAGGTGTAAATATAATTGGCAATGATTGGCCATTGATTACCCCTTCATCCCCCGTTTGTTTCAATCATGGAAGCTGAGCAAAGGCCCCTTGTAATATAGAGGATTTCATGCTCTTCCCGGGGCCAAACTGGTTCACTTCGATGGTTTTTGGGAACGGTTTCAAAGGTTCGATGGCGCAAGTTACCCCAAGTTGGGTGGTTTAGAGAACCCCCTGCTGTCGAACCGCATGCCCAGCTCCCAGCACCCTCGTGTTGGGGTCACACCCGTTGGTGTTCGCTCGTGGGGGGTCGCTCCTGGGGGCTGGTCGAAAAAGCCCCGCTGCGACAGAAGCTCAGCATGTTTCCCATACAATCCATGGGACTGGAATATATGCCATTGACCCCCCTGGCACCACCCCGACTGATCGGCAGTCCTATGGCAGTCCCATGGAGCGTTTGGGTTTAGCTGTAATAAGTGGTCCGGCTGATGTCGGTTTGCCCCAGAAGAGACCGAAGTCTTGTACAGTTCGTACTCAGGCAGAGTACGCTGCTTTGTTGGGGTTGGAAGGCGCCTGTGAATGGTGATCCAATTTGTTAGAAAAGACACCACAACTGCGCAAGTCATTACTGGACGCTTGATGTGAAGGCTGATGCCACAGCAAGCGGCCATGAAAGAAACACAGCACAGGTAGACTACTGGCATGGATAGCGCAAGCGTTCTGTGAAGGCTTAGACCCTGCAAGGGCAGATTTTCTATCTAAGGAGTTGTTTCTTGTTGTGATCACCTCCGACGACATGAAGTCCCTGCGCCGTCAGCATTTGTCAAGACCGAAGACAGGAGCCACATGGGCTTCATCCAAGACATCTTGGATACCAAGCTCAACCAGCGCGTGGCAAGGTGCCGGGTGCTTTGTTGGTCAAGAGAGAGCAAGACCCTTATTTATAGAGTGATTCAACTAGTTTTTTGGGAGAAACTTGCTCACGGCATTTTACTGTTGCTGCTTCACGTATACAGGTGTCCAACGATCAAGATTGGGAGAATGCTGCCTATTGCCGTGTACATGACAGTCTTCTTCTCGGCAATCCACATTTTTGTTTGGGATCAAGTTGATCCAGCTGACTTGTTTGTAGTAGAGGTTGTGTTAAGTGACTTCGGACATCACGTTCCCCCAACCACCAAGCACAACTCTACAACTCTATGGGCTTAGCTCCAGGTTCCTTTTGTGCCATTGGCAACAGTGCATCCGTTGGTCCAATTGGTCGTTTGTGTTTGGCATGACAATCTTTCCATTTAGATAATTTAGCACCTTGTTTCCGTTAGGTCATACAGATACATGGTCATCCTCACCAGCATTGAATAGAGTCCAATTCTATGTTAGAAAGTTTTTATGTAATTCTCCAATTTCACCGGTTTTATCTCGGCTTCATGATGTTGCTTTGCTGTCCTGCTCATCTTCCACATCTTCCCCACCGCCTACCTCACGGCAGGCCGCAAATTCACACGGCGGAGTGAGTGAACACTAGAATCCCAGACACGACTCCACGGGTTTCGCAACAAAAATACCGTCTGGGGTGCTTTCAGAGCTTCCAAGGTAGGTCATGGTACATTTGCCTTGCATGCCATCCATGACATGGAGCTTTTTTGGGGGTGGCTCGCTCCAAAAAAGAAGCCCGACTTCCCGTTCTCCGTCCGTTCTCCGTTCGTTCTCCAGGCTGACGGCGGAGGATTTGATCCGACGGGTGGATTTGCTCATGGAGAACTTCGACGCCATGAGTCAGGACGTCCTCGTCGCCGGACTCGGGACTCGTCGTCCAGACTGACGTCGTGATGAGAAGAAAAACGAACTGGTTCGAGCTTGGGGAAAGAGGAGAGGGGGGGGATGAATTATGGAGTTGGTGAAGGAGTTGGATGAGCAGATTTGGGAGGAGGTAGGGGGGTAGCATAAGAGATATTCGGAGAGAAAGATGAGCAGAGGTGGGCTTTTTGAGCCGTGAATATCTTTGATGTGGTGAGGGTCGCTGGGTCTTAAGCCCTTAGCGTAAAAAATGTTTACATAATATGCTTTCGTACTGTATTTACATGGCATTGCATGTCCATTTACATTGTCAAAATCCCCTTGTTGCGGAGGTACAAACGTTTGACAGCGGTCCTGCGGGACCGTGGTGGGTTTTCTCGGGTGAAAGCCACCAATTAGATTGGAAAAACATACAGGCCCATGGCTTGTGTCTCTTTGCATCCTCCCATCGGTTATATATAGACTGATAAATAACTATACTTTTTGGCGGGTGACTGTGTTTGAGATGGGCGCTTATCACGGGGTGGGTCTGAACCAAGTTCGGAAACGCAGCGCCTGGAACGCTTGGGACATCCTTCGTTGGTGAACTTGCTGAACCAAAAGGCTCCACATCCTTCTCGCTACTTGTGCACTCGTGTGGTTTTAACGTGTGCACGAATCCCATGGGGTGAGTCCCCAGGGCCTCCCAGTCCGGCAACACCTGACGAGCAGGTCATGACGAGCATCAATCCTACGAAGGCGCCCTCGAAGCTCCGCCGGGCGCTGCGGCGCAAAGCGCGAGATCGGGAGACGGTGGTGAAGTGCTACGCCGTGGCCGTGGAACGCCATGAGAGCCTTGGGATGGAAAGGCACAGACGACTAGGACTCAGGAGATCTGTGGTGGAAGCTTTAGAGACCTGGTTGGTTAGAATATATATATATATATGTAATTATATGTAGATAGATATATCGGTGGCAGGTGGCACTAAAGTCGGTGAACCCCCGCCGTGAGAATGTGTGAACAGTGATGAACAGTGATTGTCCAATATGGATGTGTGATTTAATAGGGGGACCCCCTGGACCAGTGGGTAGACTTTAAATACACCCATGTGAGCATGTTGTTTCTTTTGTTCTGTTTTGGTGGCTGGATATATGTACCTGTCAGGAAGGTGAATGAGCATCATTTGAGATATTGAACAAAGAGGATCAAAGAGGTAAGATGATCAGATTATGCCTTCAATCAGATCCTCCAGGACCTTCCCTGTGACCGAACTTGGGCGTTTTGGAGTCCCTGTTTGTGACCTAACTTACAGGCCTGGAACTTGTGACCGAACCAAGCAGGGCATCAAGTTCGGTCACTCAGTAGCTCCAGGCTGTTGGTCCTGGGACCGAGGACCTATAGTCCCATCATGGACGAGCTGAGCAAAGCATTGAAAGCCGCTACTGTGCCTTATCTGTGCAACAGATTTGATGAGTCGCCTTTGACCACCCGGTGGTTGGCTGACAGACAGGGGTAAGTGGAACTTTTGGATGGCAAACGTCCTTCAAATTGGTTAGAGTTGGAGGAACTGTTCCTGGAAATGGGAACAATACCCAAGGTGGTTTCCATTTTTGTGAACAAGATTGCACAAGCTGAGATGGAGATTCGGCGAGATTTGCTCCTTTTAGTTTTGAGCCAATGGGCCAAAGTGCTTTGGAATGACCGCTGACAGTGCATTCACATGCATTCAGTCCGTGAAATCCCACTTACCCATCTTACTGAAGGGGTGCAGAATCGGGAGGTATCTCCAGGAGTAGGTGCACTCCTCCTGACACCAAGGACAAGCTGGTGGAGGCTCGTCAGCGGGGTGTCAAGTACTCCCCGAAAGACACAGGCGGGTCGAGACTCTGCACGGATGCAGGGGTGCCACGGAATGAATGAAGGCAAGTGGGTGTGATGTAGGGTGAGATATTCCCAAGTAGTCTGAGGAACGATCCTAACATATCCTAACCACAGGTTTGATGGTTTTGTAGGGGGAAACAGATGCAAAAGGCCTGGCAAGGTTCACCTGTCTCAGTAAACAAGATGCTTTTCGCGTGGGCCTTTGACCTTTGTGTCAATTCAATGATTGTATACGAGACCCAGACCATCCATGGGACTGGAACAGCTACATGCATGTATTATTTACTCCATTTGTGACCCATGCATGTAGGTAATCAATTAATTATCACTCCAGTTCCCTGGATTATTCAGGAGAGTGCATTCGCAAAAAACGGAGCACTTCCCTTCCTTGGAACCCAGACTGAGAGTCATACTGAGGCCTCCAAGTCTTCGTAGCTCCAATTTCGGTGAAAACGCTTCCGCACCTCAATCACACCTCCTTCGGTACAGGGAGAAGGTGGACCGAGCATGCGTGGCCATCTTTTTGGGAAGGTCGAGGTAGGCCCTGTTGAGGTTGAAGTTGATTTTTGGAAGAATTGGGAGTATGGACACCTCTTGGAAGGAGGCCTCGTTGAGGCTGAAGTTGATCGGGTTTGTAGTCCATGTGTGCTGTGGGGTTCTACGGAGTTGTACTCATCAGCATCTCTCGCCTACCCGTTCCTGAACAACGAGCCACAAAGTGTTTTGAGCTTGACCCTGTCCAACATCAAGTGATGCCTTGAAAAGCTCTTCCCTCCCGTGTTTGTATCAACTCTGTCAACCATGACGGACTAGAGAGAGGACACAAGCACCAATGTACAGAATTGTACAGTAGGGTAGGTGTCGTATCTCTCCTGGAATCGTTCTTCGTGGGGCCCGTGGCACGTGAATAGCATGGCCCCAATATCGGCAGACCATGAAGTCCTCTACAAACTGGTGGTGAACTCCACTAATCCGATGATTCACCACCTGTCACCTGAGCATGGAGGAGTGGTGATTTCTTGGTGAAGTCCAATTCCTGGTCAGGTGGTGATTCCGGGAGGTGTGTACTGTATCTCTTTGAGCCACTGACCAGGCCTACTGGACGTCTTGACCAGGCCTACTGGACGTCTTGACCAAGTTCTACTTGGTCCTTCCCAAGGAGGAGCCAGCCTTCTGATGATTCGCCCATGGCCGTTGTCCGACCATGGGCGAGACGTGGACTTGTGGTTGAAGACTGTAAAAGGTGGTCAAGCTGGATTTTTAAGGTGGACAAGTGGGCTCATTGGACTCCATATAATATGGAGATGTTGGACAAATCCTTTTGATCAGAATTGGTCAGAATGACAGCCATGATGTGCACCTTCAGGAATGCAGCCAGTCGTCCACTCTTTCGATTATATCTCTTAATATCTCTTCAGGCTGTCCCATTACCGGCCTGCAACCGAACCATCACCATCGCCCAGGGATATAGGACATATATCTCTTCATCTGTGATGACCCGGACGTCTGACTCGCAAAAACCGAGACGGCTCCAAACGAGAAGTCCCAGGAGCAGACACGCTTCACCCGGCTGAAGCAGTGGCTGAATCCCTTCAATCTCTTCCGACGCTGGGCGGAGAGACCATCGAGTTGAGAGAGACCATCCTGCATGAGGCATGAGACCTGGGGGAGATCCATAAGGGTGAAGGAGTGGCTTCTAACCACCCGGTGGAACCCACCGGCATGAAGTTGACACTCCCGCCGCACTTTCCAACCACCAGAGGTAGCACCGAGACAGAAAGGGACAGAAGTCCCGGAGACGGAGGTTTCGGTGTGATCATCATCGCCATGGGAGACTGGGAGTGACGCTCTGAAAGAAAGTTTGGTGCAAACGGCACTGCAGTACTGAGTGCATGGTCAGGTTGAGCCGTTTCGTCTCAGATAAAGTCGCAGCTCTGCAGTGTGCCCATGCAGTTTTTGCATGGTTTGTGCATGTTAGAGGTGGACGTTCTTCATCTCGGGCCTAGTCTGAATACTTTCATATCATGTGCCCCCCGTATGCCCCCGTAATGCCCTCGTTGACCATCGCCAAAACTCTGGCAGTGTCGCTTTACCTTGACCATCGTCGCCCGCATTCGCCTTCGCCGTTCCTGTTTTTTTTCCTTTTTTCCGCCGAGGAACTCGGCTGAAGATCGACAAATTGGTGAAGGCAGATGCGATCCTTGGCCCAGAAGGCCGCACCGATAGGAGATGAAGACCTCCGCGGCCGGAGAGAGGTGACGGTGACCGGATGGACTGTTAAAGGTTAAGTTATAGGCCAGACACTCCATGCATGGAATAGATGCCTACATGGGACCCTGGGTAGGTAAATATATGGCAGTCCCATGGAGTGTTTGGGTAGGGCCAGAAGAACCGCAGTTCGCGGAGTTCGGGGATGTGTTTGTTCGCACTCAACCATGCAGAACGGCATGGAAGGACTCAACGAGAGACTTTTGGATCCGCCCAGTTTCTTTACCAACTTGATGACTTGATGGGACTGAACATGACATATCATCAACCAAATTCTATACTGAATATATATTGTACATTATTGTACTGAAATTGATTTTGGCGCTTTCCGAAAGGCGTTCATGAGATAGGCGTTCATGAGTGCTTTCATGAGTGCTTCCTTAAGTGGATGTGCAAGAAACATATAACATATAACAAAATCCCTGAGTCGGTGAGTCCGCTTCTGGAGAAGATGCAAGTCCCTAACTGGTTCCAGACGAGCAAGCTCCAGGTGATCATACCGATCGGTTTCAGACCGATCGGCGCTGTTTTCGCTGGTTTCAGACCGATCGGTACTCCGATCCCAGGAAAGATTGCTCCTTCCGGAAGGTGCGGAGCACACGAGAAGAAAACAAACGAACGTGGAATGCCGGCGGAGCACACGTTCGTCACAATGTGAAGACCATGGAACCCAAAAGACACCGGCGTTCTAGTCGCGAATTCAAGAGATATCAAGAGCATTTGGCGATGTGAAGGCATTTGGAAGTAGAACTTTGTATATGCAGAGGTGACCTTCATAGGACATTGTGCCCATTCTCATCAAGCACAACACCAGAAGTAGAAGACTTCGCATGCCGATTTCCTCTGGTGACTTTGACTCATTCTGAGCGTTCTGAGGGAGAGTAGGGAGAGTTCTGCAGGATTTGCTGTCCGGCTTCCAAACATGGCCGACTAGCGAATATGGTTGAACCTCACAAGGATCGAATGTTAATCTGAGTCTTCACAAACAATTAGGATGTGTTGGGCTTGGCATCCTGGCGTGGGGAGGACCCTTTTTGTGGACACTGACTTAGCTTGGACGAGCTTGGGCAGCCAAGCTCCCGGTAAGCTCAGTGGAGTAAGTCAGTTGAATGAAAAGAATCCCTACTGGTACAGGTCAAAAGATCCAACCCTAGTCCTTTACAGTGGTTTCAGAGGTGGAGAATGGCACAGACCTTAAGATGTCCTGAAAACACGTAAAGGTCCACTACTAAACCACCAACATTGGGGTTTGTGCCATCTACTCTCAATCCCCTATACATGATTGAGTAAGTAGTGTTTGTATGACAAACTTCAGTAGAATGAGGTCCAACTGATCTGTAGGGAAAATCACTTGCAGACACAATCACTGGACCTACTGTAGCTCATGTATGTTTAACGAAGGTTTTTGCTAGGATTTGGACACCATTCAAGAACCAAAGAAGATGCTGGCAGTATCCATGGGTCCATGATAAATTATCAAGCTCGGCACAGGTTGTGCCGAACTGAACTCGACAACCTATATAAAAGCCTGATACATACATCCATCGAAGTATTTTCAGGGCAATGATTCCCTTGAGGGTTCTTGATCTTCCGTGTTGTGTTTTCTCATAGGGCGGTGTGTCGAATTGACTCGAATTGTGAGTTTCTGGATGCACCAGTTTGACGTCAATGTGAAAGCCGAAGGAGGGAACAACATGCTTGGGCCGTAGTAACGAGCCTTTGGATCTATTCCCTCATTCCTTTGAAGCACCAGTCAGTAAAGTACATGCCCGGCCCAACCCTCTTTCGTAAAAGTACCGCTTGGCGCACGGCCTATGGCCAATGGAAGGTACGCCAAATGACCAAGAGCGGCCTATGGAAGGACAGTCGCCCATGTTCACAACGTGAACCCACAGACTTGGGCAAGGGTTTGTAGTTTATAGTGGATTGAGAGCAGATGGCACAATCCCCAAGTTTGGTGGTTTAGTAGTGGACCCCGATCCAAAAGACATGTAGGTGTGCCAGTGCCATCGAACCTCCCAAACCAATGTAATAAAGGGCGTACACTCTTGGACTGATGAAGAGCATCAACTTTCCAGCAGTTCCATGAGACCCATTGTCCATCACTGGATGGGACTCACAATCCAACTCCATGTGACCCCTGGTTTAGACGACTTTAAACCTGCACAAGTGATTGATTCAGGCTCGAGAGACGCTTGTTGGGCTGCTGTGCCCTTCAGCTAGAGGTGCAAGGCAGCTGACATTCCAGGGCATCAAGATGTGCAGAATTGGAAGGCCTTGAAACTTTCAGAGGCCACGGCGGTTGTGACTTTACATACTGGTTCTATCTGGTTCTCCAATCGTGCCTCGTCTCACGTCTCCAGTACATGCAGAAATTCAGATTCTATATGCATGCGTATCAATTATGCAATATTATGCTGAATTAATACCATGTCCATCAAATTCACCTCAGCAGATCCATCAGCGGTGCTCAATCACACATGCGTTAACTCCGTACCGCTCCTCGTACCGCCGCGTTCTTCGTTGCCGGAGCCGCGGGGAACCCCGCGTGGCGCTGGCGCGGCTTCCCAGGAATTTCAGACGTGCTGCACCGAGCGCACGAAACAAGTCTTGGGCTGGGAAACCAACATCCGCTCCTCGGCAGTGACCGACACCTTGACCGAAAAAAGGCCAGTGGTGGGTGGTTTCAGGGGTCTTTCTGGGGTGGGTATAGATTCCAGTCCCATTGATGGTTTGAGTTAGGTTGTCACGAGTTTATATGCACATATATGCACTATATGTGAGATGGTGACCGACCTGCGCTTTGGACCACGACCTCCCAACGTCGTCGTTGGTGGAATGTTTCCTAACCTCGTTTGTCCGCCTGGTCGTCGTCGATGAGGCATCGTCAACACGCAGATCAGCAAGATTTTGGAGATGATCGGCTACGTGAACTTTGGCATGAACGAGCGTAAGCACTTGCAATGTTTCTTTTGCAAGGATGGAAGATCCAGTCTGGACTGAGCTAGGCGTATGATCTGAGACAGAGATCGAGGTCGTTGGATTTGACGTGTGGGGACCTGAGGGGACATATAAATATATGGCATTATATATATACTGTGTGTGTGTGTGCGTCAAGGCAACGCTAGCTATGTGCCAATCTTC